ACCTGTAGTACGCCGCAACACACCGGATCACTCCGGTCATCTCCCCCATTGCCGGCGACCGGAAAACTCGCCGGAAGGTCGCCGGAAAATGCAGAAAAGCCCCGGAAAATTCCTAAAAATTCTAAAAAAATTCCTAATGCCTTAAGGAAATATTTTTAGCTATTTTGAACATCCTAGGATAATAACTAATTATATACCATCCTAAATAATTAAAATTTCACAAATTTAATAAACTAAAATTCCTAATTTATTAAACTCCTTACATGGTCTCTATGCTCTAAAATAATATCAATAAACTAAACAATTAATTTATTAATTCAAAAGGGAAAAATAGATAATAACTTGCCTTTTTGGATTTAAAATAAATCCGCCGGTTGCGCGTAGTCGGGTAAATTCCCTACACCGGTCCAAGCTCCTTTCTTTCTCTCTCTTCCTTTCCACACTCTTACAATGGCTCACTAGAATTTATAATTTGTGTTTAACTCCCTTTCCTTCCTTCTAAGGTAGGCTAGCTAATTTATATACAAATTATATAATATAAATATTACAAATATCTAGTTTTTACATTTACTAACCACCTTCCCAACCATATGGCTTCAATTCCACCCATAAACATTGATGAAATCCTATCCTAATCTCTAATTTCATCATGACATTGGTTTAATACTATTATTATTATTATAACTATTATTATTATTAATAAACTTTTATAATTATTATTATTATTATATTATTATTATTATATACAAATTAAATACTTTAATTAAATAATAATAATTAATCTAAAACATAACCAATAAAAATTTCAAAACTAATCATTATACTATATAGAACATAAATCAATATTACATGCACAAATAAATAAAATTAATTAACCTAACACAAAATTAATTTAAATACACTCTTAAAATTACGGGGTATTACAGGTTGTCTCTAAAGTTGTTGAAGAACACAATCATTCTTTTGTAACTCCAAGTAAAAAACATAAGCTGCCATCGCATAGGAAGGTAAAAAAAGGTCATGGTCAAATGTTATCAACTATGCGTGATTTAGGCGTAAAGACAAATTTGATGATGAATTTTTTGGCCCTTACAGCTGGTGGATATCGTAATATTGGTTTTACTTCAAAAGATGCAAGAAACTTTTTGGGTATTAAACGAAAAACAGAGATTAAAAATGGAGATGTGCAAGTTGTTCTTAATTTTCTTGAAAGTTAACAAAACCAATAATCGATCATTCTATTATTCAATTCAAGTTGATTCAAAGGATAAAATGACTAATTTTTTTTGGGCAGATTCTAGATCTAGAATGGACTATCACTATTTTGGGGATGTTGTTTGTTTTGATCCGACATATGGGACAAATAGGTGTGGTATGCCATTTGTCCCTATCGTAGGGGTCAATCATCATTATTAAACAGTGTTGTTGGTGGTGCACTTCTTTTTGATGAAACAGAGGAGTCTTTCTTTTGGGTAATTTCAACCTGGATGAAAGCAATGAATGGAAAACAACCTATAGTGATTCTCACTGACCAAGAGTCAGCAATTGCAGGGGCAATATCACGTGCATTATCTGACACTTGACATCGATTTTGTCTTTGGCATATCACAAGAAATGTTGCCAAAAAGTTGGGCAGTATATACAATGCGCAGAATGGATTTTAGAGTGATTTCAACAATTGCCTGTATGGATGTCAATCCATAGAAGAGTTTTAGCTTTGTTGGGAAGCAATGTTGGAAAAGTATGGCTTGAAAGATAACAAATGGCTGATGGGGTGTATGGGAAAAGGGAAAAATGGGCAGTTGTTTATACACGTGATGTTTTGCTGTGCATCTATGTACACAACACAACGTAGTGAAAGCATAAATGCCTACTTTGATGGGTATTTGTAGGAGGACATGCCATTATGTGAATTTGTAAAGCAATATGAAAGAGCTGTCATACATAAGAGGGAAATGGAAAATGATGAAGATTTTGAGACGCTCTATAAGAGGCCTTTTTTAAGGATTGGAATGGACATTGAAGAAAATGCATATGAAATTTATACTAGAGCAATCTTTAAAATGTTCCAAGATGAATTCTTATTAGGTCTCAACTACAGTCATGAAATGATTAAGAATATGGAAAAAGAAAATTTTATTGTGTGGAGAGGCAAACAAAAAGATATGGGGCATATTGTTAATTTTGATAGCTCTGCCCCATCTATTGATGTAAAATGTACATGTCAACTTTTTGAATTTGCAGGATACTTGTGCCGACATATTCTTAAGGTGTTTGTGGTCGTGAATATTCAAAATGTTCCGTCTCAATACATATTAAAAAGGTTCACAAGAGATGCAAAGTCTGGACCGGTGGTGGATGAGATAGGTGAACAAATGCAAGCGGATTGTCATGTGCCGGTGACGCTTCAATATAGCAATCTTTGTCGTGAGGCTTCAAGCATTGCAGAAAAAAGTACTATACATGAGGATATATACAACTTGGCTATGAATGGTTTGCAGAGGTTGTCAAAGGAAATTGATGCTGCAAGAAAAAAACTAGCTACCAAGTCTGCTGAATCTGAAATGACAGTAAGTGGTTCTATAGTTTCCAATAATCTTGAGGATCGTAGGAAGTTACATGATCCCTTGATTGTGAGGCATAAAGGGCGTCCTGGAAGAATTAATTCATTTTTGGATTCTAGGCCAAAGAACAAAAGTAGGGCTACTAGGCATGTGAAGAAAAGTGAAAATCAATTCAACAAAGAAATTGATTTGTTGGCTGCGTCACAAGGAAGACATGGTAACACTAGTAAGTGAACATCATTCAATATATAAGATTTCTCTGTGTATAATAATTTACATGAATTTCAATTTTTACTATTTTATTTAATCTACCATGCAGGGCAAAGGAAGCGTGTTCCGAGTTCATCAACAAATGCTGAACAATTTGCATTGCCACGTAAAAGCGACTCTTTGCTGTTTTTACCTACCATTAGTCAGGTTTGTAAACATAATTTTTTTCCCACATATCTTTTTATTTTTATTTCAGTAAGTTTAGACAGGTATCATTATGTACTAAAATTTTCTTTTCTAAAATTCTCTTTACATTCAACTTACCACATATTGTATGACATTTAGGGAAATACAGAATCTGGTTCATTGAATGTCAACTCCAATGATGCTGTTGGTTTTGATCTTAATGATTTACATGAGCTAACTACATTTCAGATTGTAAAGTTTCATTTTTTTATTTAATTTCTTTGAACAATCTATTAAGATGCTCAAATATTTCTGTCTCCCACTCTCTTACAGGATTTTGAAAATGAAGTTTGAATTTAAGCTACATGGATCTTTTGGATTAGAGTGACGGTGGAGTTCAAATCCAGTTATAGAAAATACAAGCAATGTTTTTTTGTTTTTTGGTCAAATGGAGCTATATATATGAAGAAATGAGCTTGAATAGATTGTCAAGTGTTCTGAGCTGAGTTTTGTAAAAAAAATTATAATGATCAAGTATCCAGTTCAGTTATTTTATGGTTCACTGCTCAGCATAGTAGGATTTTGGAACTAGTATTTTTTTTCTTTACTATTTGGAGTATGTGTTGGCCTGGATTTCAAAGACTACATTATGGTATTTTTCTGTAAGCTCTCCAAGTGACAAAGAAAATTGTTTGAGATGTGGTGGATTCTTTGAATTTGTTTTCTAAGATATATTGCATATGTTTTTCTGTTCATGGCAGATTTTTGAGGGCTATCGGGTTTTTCTTCTTTTGTTTTTCTTTGTGTTAGGTTGCTGGAGCTACTATTTTTATACTGCTTTTAGTTGTTGTGTTCCTTTGCCAGCTATTTTTCCCTGATATCGTTCACGGATCAGCTGCTATAAGCTTTTGAGCTCTCAATTCTTTGCTTGCTTCCTTTTTTCAAGATCACTAGTTATCATCATGCAATGAAAAATGATTCTTGAGAGACTAGATAAAAGTAAAGCCACCTAGTAAGTCAAATTGAGGTTGAATATAAACTTATAAAATCATGTATGCATTACAAAGGCATTCACACTATAATTATTTCGTCTAAATTTTTTGTGACGAGGTTATTCCAAAGCTCAAAAACGCGAACAAAAAATAAGAAAAGTATCAAATAGAGTTACGAACATGATAGATGAAGTCTAACATACCAACATCAATAAAGGATTAACTATGAGAGAGAGAGAGAGACGGATTCTTTGAGGGTTAACCAAGAAAGAGAGAAAGTCAGATTGGGTGAGGGTGTTAACCAAGACAGAGAAAGAAATAGTGGAGAGAAGAGAGAAAAAAAAAAAAATAATTATTTGTTTATTTAGAGCATCCCCATGCAAGGGTTGCTTTACATTCTACGCATTGCAAAAAGTGTAGTGCCACCTCACCAATTGTGCTGACGTGGCTCTACACTTGTTTTGAAAATTTTAAAGTATCATGCATCATTATTTGCATTCTACATTTTGTTATATATAATCACTTTTTCAATTTTATATACACAATTACACCACAACACAATATAACTTTTCAATTTTATATACACAATACCCCACCTTTTTGACCTTTTTGTATCTGTCAGACGCTACTCAGTTCTACACATTTGGAGTAGAAGAGTGTACAATGCACATAGGAGAAGCATTGGTTCGCTAGAGGGTCAAATATTATACAAATAGAGCATGCGCTGGGATGCTCTTATTGCAAAAATTCTTTCTTAATTAATGCTCTCTCCCAAATTCCTAAAAAGGAAATCCTAAAGAAATCATTTGGTTTGTAAACGGAAACTCTTTTGATTTTTTGCGCGAGCACTCTCACAGTAGCATTACTTTTTTTTTTTTTTATCATATATATTCCTACAATGGCTACCATAATCCATAGAAAACCCAATGGTTCCCATTTTTTTATTTTTTTTATTTTAAAATAATCATAATCATGGGTGGTCGGTGAACTCTGGAAGTCATTTTGGACTTGGCATAAAAACACAAAAGAATTAAATAAAATGGTCAGCTAAAAAGAAGGAATAGTAAAATTGGATTAAGGAATCAAATTTGCCGACAAGAACACAGGTCACCCGGTACACAGAGCTGTTGAAGTATAATCCATGAAACCACAGCAAGGTAAAAAAAAAAAAAAAAAATTATGAAAAATATAGCACCTGGAGCACAAACGCACAGATTTCCTCAACGAGTAGCTTTTGACATATGGAGCAACATTGGATTAGATGAAACGTTCAGAGTCTTGAAAACAACCAATGCCCATCCCCACTTGCAGGCTGCAGAACTAGCGTTCGGCAAAGATAGCCATCTGCAACATACCAAGCTCCATTCTTTCTAAGAGATCGCGCTATCTATCAAATTATTGGATTAGACAGTAAGTGTATGCACGGCATAATTTCAACCACCATAGATCAGAACAGCAAAACTTAATTCTAATTCCAACAGATGTGAGAAAGATGCACTATACATGACTTCACAAATTTACCTGCAATGCTTTCCTCTTTATCTAACTCATTAAAAAAAAAAAAAAAAAAAATAGAAAAGAAATAAAAAAGACAGAAGGCCAAATACAGACAAAGGCTACAGATAAGACTTCAACATCTCCCATGTCACATTCGCTTCACTAAGCAATTTATAACTTATGCTTCCACAATTACACCTTCCTCCACTCCTTCCTCTCCTTCCTCTACCATCTCCCTAACTGCTCTTATAAGACCCCTTGTGATTCCATTGAGATACAACCCATTCTCTTTCATCTCCCCCAGCAGCTTCTCTGCTGTTTCCCAATCCAAAGCCTTTAAGCAAAGTGATTGGATCAGCTTTTGGTACTCGTCAACACTAGGTTTACCTACATACTCTTTCATCTCGCCCAACAATTCTAAAGCCTTGTCAAAATTTTCAAGCTTGCAATACCCCCTTATAAGTGTATGATAAGTCACGGGGCACAGCTTGGTGTGCTTCTTTTTGGCTTCAGCCAAAAGTTTACAAGCCTCCTCCATCTCACCCCCTTTTGCATAACCACTCATCATGACAGTATAAGTGTACACATCAGGTTTCAGGCCCCTATCCTCTATCATTTTCATTATTTTCATTGCCTCCTCCATATCTCCAGCCTTGGAAAGGCTGTTAATAATCGAATTGAAGACTGCATTTCCAGGAGGCGGACCGGCATCAATCATCTTAAACAGCAAATTTTTTGCCCCTTCAACATCATTGATCCTACACAACCCACTAATGACAACCGAAAACGGTTTGGTTGCATATTTCCTTTCTTCTCCTGAGAAGCCCTCCAGCATCTCCAAAGCTAAGTGAACTGTCTCATCCACTCGACTCAACGCACCAATCAAAAAAATAACAGAAGCTCGAGGAGGGTAGTTGTCTGTCTCCTTTGCCAACAAGTAAACCTTATGAGCATCTTCAGCCTTTCTAACTTTGCACAAATACAATATAATCTTTCCAATTTTCTCACCGTCAGGCAATTTCCCCTCACTGAGCATCTTCTCGCAAATGGAGGAAGCCCAGTCAAAGAAAGAACGCCTACAAAGAGCTTCAATTGTAAAATAATAAGTTTCTGAATTTGGAACACACCCAAATTCCCCAAACTTGTTAAACACCTCAAACCCAGCCTTCGCTTTACCCAACCTTGACAACAGAGATATCAACTGATTGAGAATCTCCGAAGTCAACACGCCATTCTCCTTCTCGCCTAATTCCTTAACCAAATCCCACAAAGCATATGCATCTTTCTTCCTAAGATCACTACAAATTGCCTGAACAAGAGCATCTACAATCCCTGTATTTACCGAAAACTCTGGCTTCTTCCAAGCCCATCTGAAAAACCCAATCAAATTTTCTCCCGGAACAAGCGGGGTTTTGAGCACTTTCATGACAAAGTCCTCATTTAGAGGTAAACCCATATTTTCAAGACTCGATTCCAAAGACCCTTCCACGCCACGACTTTGAAGCAAAGATCGTACATTCTCTAATAACTGCTCCAAATCAACCTCATTCACGTTATCTTCACCTGGTTTATCATGGTCCAATACTAAACCATCTTCCATTAGGGTATTAGTATCGGCATCAATACTGTTACTTTCGTCGAAAATCATTGAAGAATTAGGATCTTCGAATTCTGGTAAAACTGAGCTAGGACTTTCGTCGAGCACATTGTGACTATCACTGACGACATCGTCTACACTGGTTTCAGAATTTGTGGATTCAATGTGTGATTTTTCAAATTCATCGGTTGGGTTTGATGAATCGTTAGAGAAAAATCTAGGGTTTTGGTAAAAGGAGGTTGTGGGAGCGACTACCCATGTAGAGAAATGTGAAGCAAATGGATATTCTAAGGAGATTAGGGTTTGACAGGAAGGTACCTGGGGCAGAAGATGAGGTTTTTGAATCGAACGCGAATTTCTTGCTAGTCTGCTGAGAGAAGCTCTTCTTGCTACAACTATTGAATTCCACATCTTCTCTCTCCTCTCTCTCCTCGACAGTGTTACAGACTTGAGTGCAAACCCTATGTCTCAGATTGAGTGGGGTTTTGGGCTTTGCAGATGGGGGCGCAAATCCTCTGCGTTTTTTTTTTTTTTCGTGCCGTCCCCATGCGGTGCATTAAAGGCGTGTTTGGCTTGAAATCAAAACAGATTAAGTCAAACAGTGTTAACCCCAGTTACATGTATTTAATACTATATATCCCAGTTAACCCCGACTGTACTATACTACATACTACAAGTAAAAATATATATTAAACCTCCAAATTCTCTCACACGCTATTTATTCTGCAACACCAAAGTACCAGAAACAAAATTTTGATTAGGGTTTCATCTTCAAAGATCTTTGTGAGTTAGGGTTTCTTAAGCCAAGAAGATGTTGTCTAGGTTTTATATGATTGAAATTGGGTTTTGCTTTGATTGCTATTTTATTTTTTATTTTTTATTTTTTATATTTTTGTTTTATTTGGACCATGGATTGTTGTACGGTGAGGTTTGGGATGGAGTGATAATGGTTTTCTAATTTAACAATTTATTGTTCATGCATTTTTGGGGCTTTGGGCTAGATTTTCACGAGTAATTTTTGTTTTTCCCTAATTATGTTTTCAAGTTAGGATTTTTAATGATCCATGGTTTCATGGAAGGTCTTTTGTGGAAACCTTTGGGCAGTATAGAATGCTTAGAGGTACTGATTTACAAAGAAATCCAATAATCGAAGGCTTAATGAATTTATGGGCTTAATTATGTGAATGGTTTCCTAAATAGTATGCTGTAAAAAACATTATAGGTGTTCCAATTGTTATTTGGGGTCAGACATAACATAAAATATGTATATATTAATGATTTTGAATATTTAAGGCAAAGGATAAATTTGTTTATAGGTGGTTTAAGTGAGTTGTTCTATAAGATTGAGCGCGAAAAATACTTTCTTTTTTCATTGTTCTTTTATGTAATTTTAATTTCTTTGTGGAAGTGATAAAGTTTATTTAATTGTATGGATTACATCCCCTATCTCATTTATGATCTTATTTTTAAATTAAAATTTAAGAATTTCTTTTGCATTTAATTTTGATTATTTAGAGCACATTAAATTGTATTGAGTACCTCCACTTGTTTATCATTCAATTTATTATTTATAACGGCTTGACCTCAAATAATTTTTTCTCTAAATTAGATATCCTTCTCATTTAAAGGTCATCCAATTGTTTGTATATGGCAGACACGAGCTTAAAATTTGTCCAGTTTTTTAGTTTTCTATTTTTAATTTTGGGTCTAGAGTTAAATGATTATTAGGATTGTAATTGAATGTTTGGAATGAGGATACCGAATATATAAAGAGATATATTGATATAGATATATGTGTTTGCAGGTGGTCCATGTGTTCATTAGTATAAGATTAAGCTAATAATTTTTATTTACATTGTTAGTTTTTAGTAAATGAAAGTAATTTTTTTCCTCTCCACTTTCTTTGTTGTGTCAACTTGCGTTGGCAGACTTTTTTCTAGGCATATTGTTTGGCAAAACTTGAGGAGGCTTTGCATGGTTTGTGACTAATTCAAAAGAATCACAAAGGGGAGTAAAGTTCATAAGATGGTAATGTGATTATTTGGAATATCTGAAGGGAGAGTAATCTTAAATTACATGAGGATCAAACAAGGTCTGCTAGCTACTGATGCATATTTGGAAGCACTACTCTGTATGGGGCTTGAGGATATAGAGTTGCTTTGAATTTCTTAATTCTGTTGTATTTATCCTTTTGGTTAGTTTTTTAAAAATATTGGTAGTTTATGAAAACTCTTGAACGAAGAAGCAACGGGTCAAAAATATGTAGGGTTAATTACAACGACACCCCCTGAGGTTTGCCATAATGACACCCATATACAAGTTGGACGTTTTTTGGACGATGACACCCCCTAACAAAAGTTTGATCCAAACAGTCCCTTAAAAGTTTTGAAAAGACAAAATTGCCCTTCAATATTTAACTAATTTTAATTGTAAAATACCATAATTTTAAAATGACTCTTTTGCCCTTTTACCAATCTCACCTAATAGTGTTTAATTTCTCTCTCTACCTTCTGTATCAAAGTTCGGCTCACACACAATCGCCACCACCATCACCCCCAATCGCCACCACCATCATCCCCTCTATCGCCGCCACCACCATCATCCCATCTATCACCCACAAGCAAGACAACCTTCCCCACAAGAAAAGAGACAACCTCCCCCACCTTAGCCCAGAATCGTCACCACCATTCACCTTCACCACCGTAAACCCCTTCTTTCCCCCTCTCCACTCACCACCACAATCTCCACCACACAACCACCACCCAATATTACCATGGATCGTATTTTTGTAAAACCACCATAACTCTCATCCGGAAAGTTCCGCCAATCCAAAATCCAAGAAAACAAACAGAGGATCTACCCACAGATAAATTCGGATCCATTTGCATCATCAGACTATGGTCTGAGATTGCGGTGGAGGTGGTGGTGGCATCACCGGAATTAGCTGAATCGGATTCATAGATTGATTTGATTCCTTTGCGCGATCTGAAACCTCGTTTGAATCTACTCCTGGAAGTAAAAGGATCGGAGAAATCAGAAGATTAGCTGGCGACGATGTCGTTTCGAGCGGTGGCGGCAAAAGACACTGTTCTGGCCACAGATCGGTACATAAGAGTCTATATATTTATATATATGTGGTCTGTAACTTATATATATATATATATATATATATATATATATATATATACTGGCAGAGACCCAGATCTTAAAGTGAGGTATATAGACATATACGTATTGCTGATCAAAGAAATTAACTCTGTTTTGGTGTGTTATTAATAAAAGATTGGCACGATTTGGGCGATTTTACAACATTGCTGTTTTGTCATTCTCCAATAGACCTAGGGCTTCGTCGATTCTAGCGCAGAGCTCCGGTGACCACCCCATTGGTACGTTGGAGAACCATGGAACGTGCATTTGTGTATATAATATATAGGCAATTTTAACCCAGGGCTTCGGCTACCCTACTGATTCGTTAGATGTATGGAATGCATATACCTGATATATATATCAGGTTATGTATATATTGACAATATTTGTATATAGAGAGATGTGGGAGAGGTTATTTTAGACATTTCAAATTTATTAGGTTGGGTAATTCGGTAATTTCTCTTTTTAAAAGTGTCATTTCACAAGTCAAAGGGCACTTATGTCATTTTATCACATGTCAGACCCTCAATGGGTGTCTTTGTCAAAGGCAACAAAGTTGAGGGGGTGTCATTGTTCAAAAGTGAGCCAACTTGTATATGACTGTCAATTGGGCAAACCTCAAGGGGTGTCATTGTAATTAACCCAAATATGTATTATACGAAATCAACAAGGAAGGTGTCACATTCAAAGATTGAATACATTACAAGATTTTCTGTGTTCTTTCATCCCTTATTGTTAACACTTGATATTGATATTTAGGATGCTCTATTTTTTTTTGTTGTAAAATTTTAACTTCAAACAATAACATAAATAATATGTTGAATTGAATAATATGTTGAATTGAGTTAAATTTATGTGTGACAGTAGTTAGTCGGGTGAATACCTTGTTTTGAGGGTGAAGGTGTTGAGTGAGCAAATTAGCAAGTTTTTTTCGATAACATAATGGTACGAAAGTAACACGAACTTTGTCGAAGAACTTCATGGTTCACTTGTCCCTAACTAAATGTATGATTTTTTTAATACTTGGAATAACAAAAAGGCCTTCGCTCTTTTCTTTATTTTGAGAAACGTCAAGTATTTTGTTTGTTGTCTAATACATATGTGAAGTAACATACTAAAAATTGTGCAAAAATACTATAATAGAGGAGAAAGTTTGTAAAAGCAATTCATATTCTTCAATTAGAACAACCGTTGTCAAGAATTCATCCCGGTGATTCTTAAGGGAAAGGATTAAATTTATTTAGTACAAATGTAAATAATTTGGATTGGAAACTTGTTATATGAGAACCATTTCAATAAAACTATTTAAAAGTCCTTGCCTGTGCATAAGAATACAAATATTAAAATTTGTGAAGTAACATATTGAAACTTGTGCAAAAGTGCTAAAATTCGGGTGAAATTTTGTAAAAACATTTGTTATTGTTCATTTAGAATTGCCGAGATCGATGATTCATCTCTTTAATCCATGTAGGTAAGGGTGAATATAATTTAGGATTGAGATTTATCATGTGAAAACTATTGGAATAAAATTATAAGAAGTCCTTAAAGATGCATAAGAACACAAAATAAAATGAATGTGTGAACATACTAAAAATTGTGCAAAAGTACTATGACACGGGTGAAAGTTTGCAAAATTATTTCATATTCTCCATTTAAGACAACCGTTGTCGAGATTGATGATTCATCACGGTGATTCTTACAGGAAAGGATAAAATTTATTTAGTACAAATGGAAATAATTTGGATTAGAAACTTGTTATATGAAAACTATTGTGTTATCGAAAAAAACTTGGCAAAGTTTGTTATTAATTGTCATTTGCTCACTCACCAACTTCACCCTCAAAACAAGGTATTCACATAGTGCCGAATAACTACAAATAACTAATGTCACGTATAAATGTAACTCAATTTAACATATTATTTATGTTGTTATTTGAAGTTAATTTTACTTTTAAAAAAAATAGAGCATCCTAAAAATCACCTTCACACGTTAATTTAAAGAGTTTTACCCCAAGGTTAGTCACTTAGGCTAATATTAGTTGCCATTTTCTCACTCATCACCTTCACCCTCATATCAAGGTATTCACATAGTGCTGACTAACTAATGTCATACATAAATGTAACTCAATTCAACATATTATTTATGTTGTTGTTTGAAGTTAAATTTTACAACAAAAAAATAGAGCATCCTAAAAATCACTGTCACGTGTTAATTTAAAGAGTTCCATTCCAAGGTTAGTTGCTTGGGCTAACTTTAGACAATATACAAAATACTCGATGTTTAGCAAAATAATTGAAAGAGCCACAACCATTTTTTCAAGTATTAAAAAATCATACATTTAGTTATTCTCTGAAGTGAACCATGGAGTTCTTTGACAAAGTTCATGTTACTTTTGTACCAATGTGTTATAAAAAAAAAACACTGCAAAAATTGGTGTTAATTGCTATTTGTTCACTCAATACCTTTTCTCCCAAAAAAAGGTATTTACACAGTATCGTGTAACTAATGTCACATATCAATTCAACATATTATTTATGTTGTTATTGTTGGAAATTTTTATATATAAATAATAAAAATTATTTTATGGTCCTTCATTACATTTTCTAAAATAGGATTATAATGTGATTATTGATCCTTGATGGATTGGGTTGTACTTTCCAATTTTGTGGGTTGCAATGATATTCACGTGATATATGGTATTAAGAATTTTATGTAAAGTTTTTTGACATCAAGGATATGGGTATACAAAGTATGTCATTGGCATTAGGATCCATAGAGATCACGCTACTGGCATAATTGGACTTTCTCTAAAGACTTATATTACTTATGTTTATGAAAAATTAAAGGTGACTAAGCGTAATAAGCACATAGACATAAAGTACATTTTCAAGCGTGAGAAGGTTAAGATTTTTAGGATGTTCTATTTTTAATAGTAAAATTTAACTTCAAATAACAACATAAATAATATGTTGAATTAAGTTATATTTATGTGTAACATTAGTTATTCGGCACTATGTGAATACCTTCTTTTGACGGTGAAAGTGGTGAGTGAGCAAATGACAATTAATATCAAACTCTTCTTTTGACGGCGAAGCTGGTGAGTGAGTAAATGGTAATTAATATCAAACTTTACCAAGTTAACATGTTAAAGTATTTTTTTGAATGCTTTGTTTTTTGTGGTAAAATTTAACTTCAAGTAACAACATAAATAATATGTTGAATTGAGTTATATTGATATGTGACATTAGTTATGGGCACTATGTGAATATCTTCTTTTGAGAATGAAGGTAGTGAGTGAGCAAATGGCTATTGATACCAATCTTTTGCCAAGGTTTTTTTGATTCATTTATCACTCTAGTCTTGTGAGCTTACTTTTTTGATGAAACTCTTTAAATTAACATGTGAAATTTTTTTTATTCTCCGTTTGTGGTAAAATTTAACTTCAAATAATATGTTGAATTAAATTATATTTAAGTATGACATTACTTATTTGACACTATGTGAATACCTTCTTCTGAGGGTGAAGGTGGTGATGAAGGAGTTTTAGTACTTTCAAGACTCTTAATGTTACTAACAAGATTTGTTGATATCAGGTAACTAAGAAAGACAATTTTCTATGAAGGATTCTGAAGTTACTAAAAAAAACTATGGCGAATATAAAGTTGTTAAGAGAGAGAAGTTAATTACTAAATTAGATTTATTGTAGTGTCAATATTGGTTGTAATGACATAAGAAACACTGTTCAAATATTTCTTCAAAGACATTTCATAAATTAGACGATAGTGCAGTGTTCCTCTAGCCATTTTATACACACAATTTTCCATGGCAACGTTCATGCAATTTGTTATTCGCTTAACAAGAAGAGCACATATATGAACATTTTGATGGAAAACAAAAACCCTTTTGGAAGATGATAAACACAACTTTTCATTTCTTAGGTGAGCCACTACAAGAGATAGTACAGTTTTATGTATTTCCTCCCAAAGTATTAGCTCTGAAAAAATGAAAACACAGAAAGATCAAGATATTCAAGGACCTTTGATTTTTGTATTCGATTAACGTATCTTAGAATTCTCTTGGAGTACTTACTTTTCTCCCTCTTTTCCCAACCGACACCATTATACCACATTCTTTGAAATCTTACAATGATTTCTAACTCCAACACAATTCTTAATAAATGCTGACAGAAACTAAGAATTATGCATTGGTGCGTAATGCTTGAGATTAACAACCAATCCACAACAATTGTTTAGTGAGATAAGCTAACCATGAAGGTACATAAAAAAAATTACAGATCCTCGAATGCTTATGATTTCAATCAAAGAGACAAGTGAACTTAAAATGATTCGAAAAGGAAAATTAAAATTTAAAATTCCTGTAGGAGTAAAAACTTTCAACTAAATACCATATATGTTGAAGGATGGTTTCAGATTATTATCAATTTCCTACTATGGGTGTGAAATAGTATCAATCTACAAAATCGTAGCTTCATAGAAAATTGGAATAACTGTATAGTAAATCACCCTCCCACATAAATCATTGGTTTTGTGTACTCTCACATTTTTGAAGGCTTGGGGAAAATGTCAGGAGTAAAATTTTAAGGCACGCTGAGACTGCCCTTAATCTTCATCGCACCCCTGCATCCATCAATGTATCACAAAAACATCAAAACATAATTAAAGAACTTTATTCGTAAAGTATGAAATATAAAAGATTTGAAAAAGACTAAAATGAAAAGAGAACGAGACCTCATGAAAGCAATCCGGGGGTTCAACTTGCCAATGGAGACGTTAACAAATCTTCATCCTTGAAAGAAAAGGTGGCATCAGGTTTTTCCACCTTCATATATACCTAAAATTCTCCAAAAAATAAATAAAATAATTACACAAATAATCAAAGAATCACATCAATGGATGCATTCTAGCTAAATTGCGAGAATGCATAGTAACAAGATATATATATACAGCTGTAAAATGCACTGGACTGATGAGAGGATTTGAGGCTTGTCTGATTATCGTAATTGATACAGAATTGAGATAAAATTGAGAATGAAATAGAGTATAAATAAGAAACCCTTACCTTTGCTCTGGAGTTTCATTTGGTCCATGAGGTCGTCAGACTTGAGCTGAGCATCGGCCATAGCTGGTAAATTGGGCTTTGGTTGTTGAGTGACCATGCGAATGAGTAGGTGATTATTATTAAGCCACTCTAAATGGACCATCTTATTATTAATTTATAAAATCGCCACAACTTGATGAGATTGTCCACACATGCTGCATTTCTGAGTTTTCAACCAAATTTATATAACTCACATCAACATTTTGGTACGCAACTTCTCCATCATAGTGATCTTATTTTCACCATAGTTTGTAACATCACATTTTTGTTGATTTTATCTATATATTGGTTGAGTTGACATAACGAACATGGTTGAAATATTTTTTTCAAAAATATTTCAAAATCAAACTACAGTAGGAAATGCGGTGGTCTAAAATTGAGAAGGTAGTTACAATATATTTATACAATAATTATTTATTCGTATCAAATTACAATTAAACATCTCTTTATACTTAAACTACCCCTCTAAATGGACCACCGTATCATTAATTTATAAAACCACCACAATTTGTCAATAGACATCTTCAAATGATTATTTAACTTCACTGAGTTTTCTTGTGACACAAAGGAGTGATCTTGATGAGGTTGTACAAGCTGCATCTATGGTTTCTTCTTTTCCTTGGGAATCACATGGCATTCAGAGACAAAATAAGAACTCAATAGAATAGAAGAACAAGTAAAAGAACATCCATGATTGTAATTACGATCCAAATCATTTTCAAGTCATTGCTGGACAATAATTTCAGGAAGTATGAGAGAAATCATTCATTCTTTTCAGTGCTGAAGAAAAGGTACATATTTTTTTGGTTGGTAAGTAAGTTACATAGTGTTTATAATCAAATTGGCATCATTTCTAGTTAAAAACATTCTGCATTCCACACAGATGCGAAAACCTTCAGCATTTGAAAAATAACATGTAATTCAGGCTGAGGTATTGGGATAAAAAGAGATAAAATGTCTGTCATATCTCAGGATAAGGTTAACAGAGTATAGAATGGACAAAGGTGACAACCATCAATGTACAATCTACACAACAATCACTAAAATATTCGTATAAAATTCAATACAAATTGAATTGATGCAAACCAATTTTTTTGGGAAACTAAACTCAAAATTATACAATAATATGACTTTCCTTATGCTAGAAAGTGTCCTAATTAAATCATATTTTGAGATAAAAGATCATATTTTTAGATAAAAGTAAGCTGAATAATTTATAGACCATATTCACCTTTCATCTTGCTGGCAAGGCAAAATCACTATGCAAGAATGGTAAATCAAGCTCATTTTTAAGGAAGCAACAGTCAAAAACTCAAATAAAACCACTTCTTTGCATTCTAAATATATTTAGAATTATTATCAACATATCTAAGAGCAAAATCATATTTGAAACCCAAAGTGAACAAAAAGAGAAGTGAACATGCAGAAAAGGACCACATGACATTCAGAGACAAAAGAAGAACTCAATAGAATAGAAGAACAAGTAAAAGAACAACCATGACTGTAATTACGATCCAAATAATTTTCAAGCCATTGCTGGACAATAATTTTCAGGAAGTGTGATACCCCTCGGATCCGAGACGCGGATTGATCAGGTCCGAGCCCAAACCCGAGGGATATCAAACAATTAATATATAACCGAACACAGAATACAAGATGAAATCCATCCATTGGACCCCTTATTTAAATTCTCCAAACGATACTGAAATAATAAAAATAAAATCCAAAGCTAACAAGAGAAGATTCCTACATAATCGGAGGAATGAATAGCTGTATCTGCTCTGCACGTCCAAACTCTAACCCTGAAACTGATGAGCACCTGAAAAATAAAGAAGTGGGTCAGGCCCACATGCAAGTCCTGATCTATTACAATCCAAACAGTAATCCGATACGCAGATACATCGTAGGAAGACTCAACAATATTTAGAGTAGTCCATATATGTTTATAGTACACACTATAGGACGCTCGCTAGTCCAGTAGGTTTGTCTCAGCCTGAATAGAAGGCAACATGCGAATACGCACCCTAGGGTGGGCATGAGTACCTAGACTTACCAGATAACAACACCTATGTCCAGTTATCCATCCTAGGCGATATACGCGCCCTAACCATGGTCATGAGACTCAAGCTCATACCACGGCACCATATAATATATATATAAAGTCCGTACTCCTCCTAATACATAATACCATCCATCTGTGTAGTGGTCTGATATATGTATAACAAATCCATCCTGAAACCATAGTGGATCATTCAATTCACAATTGATATGACATATGTTGGTGATGGACTTAATCTTTATGATTAATCCATACCTTAATCCAAATTTAGGTAGGGCTTAGTGTCTGAACTAATCCGTACCTAGTATGACACCGTCCCATACAGGCGCATACCATCCTCCAGTTTCCGTAGTTAATAACACAATATAATTACTTATTAACCAACATCCCAGAATAAACATAAATATAGTTTAGCATGTACACAACCAATATATGCATCCAATATAACATTTAGATATCCCATTACAGTTCTTGATATAAATGAAAAGACTGTACATTTAGCTCCTCCAGATAACACAGTTGATGAAAACAGTATCAGATACTAATCAACCATACTCCAAAATTTGCATAATTACAGTTTAACATGTGTATAACTAAATTATGCATCCAATAACAACTTTAGAATCCCAATTCCAGTCATTTAAATACATGAAATAAAACTGCACATTTAATTCCTCCAAACAGAACCATAATTAATGCAATCAACGGAAAAGATAATCATCAATTAATTCCAGCTAAATAGATTTATGTTTCCGGATAAATAACTATATACTTGTACACAGTTAAGACATGTTTAATGTCTTTAATTTAAACAAAGAACCCCAATTGTTTCAGAAAATAGTAAGAACAATATACTAATTTCAATCCTTTCATCCACTGTTTCCCAAACAGGTTTAGTGTTGAACCTTATCTTTGTGCATGCTTCAACATAATAACATTAACATGCTTCCCAACAGTTTATACATCTCTGAAATAATTATCCAGATCATCCACATTCCCTGAACCAACCCAGAAACCTTCCTACAGGCCAAATTAGACCCAGAACCACGCAAAACCTCAAGAAAAGGGGTTGGAGCCGTCTCCAGAAAGTTGGAGCCGGCTCCCCCCTTAGTGGAGCCGCCTCCACTTCATGTGGAACCGGCTCTACCCCATGTAGAGCCGGCTCTACAAGTCCTAGAGCCGGCTCTACCCTTTTTGGTGAGCCAGTTCTCCTCTTTTGAGAGCCGCATCCCCTAACATGTTCGTCTTCTTCGCCTCCGGCGAAGTCCAGAGTCTCTATAGTATTTTAAACTCCTGTTCTGGTGTTCATTTAATGTCCCAGATTTATTTGAAAGCCCCCAACATGCAACAATAATCCCAATTAAACCAAGCTTAACCTCAAGAACGGCATGCAACAAAACACAGAAACTTTAAGAACTTGCACCAGTTTGGTTCACGAGATTTATTATAGTTTAAACATGCATTCAAAATAAATTTTAACATTTATTTAATCCGTTTTAATGTTGGTTTAATCCCTGGAGTCTTTCTAAGCATGTACAGAACACAGATTAAAGAGATAGAGTGGAACAGAGACTTGCCTTTGAATTTCAGATTTGAAATTCTAATTCACCGTCTCTGTGTGATATGTTTGTGTCCTACACTGTAGTTCCCCACTACCACGCTCCTTCCTCCTTGAGTTGCTTTGCTAATCACCCAAGTTCACTTTGTGTTTCCCTTAAAGCTTTCTCTCTGTATTCCCCCTATCTCACTGTATAAGTGAATATGGTGAATAAGGTTTTATTTGTAACCCTAAACCAACGTATAACAACATATATAGACACTACAGAAACCCGAAGTCCATAAAGATATAACTCGGCCCATAGTTAAACCTAGGTTATAATCAACGTCGGCTACCTATGTAAATTTAAACCTAACTTATAAACCTAACTTACGATAAGCAAGTAAATTCAAAAATCAAAACAATTAATTAATAACAATTCTATCAGGTAATTAAATCAAATAATACAATTTAAAAAAAATTAAAGCCAAATAAATAATTAAAACAATTAACACAAATAATCACAATTAATGTAAATAAACCAAATAATTAATTCAAATAATATAAATAAGTCAAGTAAGTCAAATAATTAAAAAGTCAATTAAAACATAAATTAAATACAATTCAAATAATACAAATAAGTCAAGTAAGTCAAATAATTAAAAAGTCAATTAAAGCATAAATTAAATACCAGGACTATCCTTTTGAAATTAGGGGTATTACAGGAAGTATGAGAGAAATCATTTATTCTTTTCAGTGCTGAAACAAAGGTACATATTTTTTTGGTTGGTAAGTAAGTTATCAACCAACATATATATATATAGAGAGAGAGAGAGAGAGGTGTTTACTCTGAGGTTGGTTCTTCACCAACCAACCTTTAACATACTTCAAGACAGTACCAAACATGGTGCTTCGACCCTTAATCTGTAAACCCTACCCACCCTTTCTGTTCTGCAATTCATATCTCTACATTTAGTATTTTACAGTCCCGTTGGGAAGATATATAGAAAAAGAGAAATTCTAAAATATACAACATTGAATATCCTAAAATAAAATCTAATTGCATCATGAAAGAGGCATTATAGGTTTGAATATTAAGATTAACTGGTGGCATATCTCATACTTATGTTCTTTGGACAAAACTGCATCCAGTGCCCCGGTAATAGACATAATAATGACCTGACAAGCAAAAAAAAATTTCAAAACTGAGATGATTATCATTTTGTTGGATTGAAATTAAAACTAACATGATTATCCTGTTCTTGGATATAATTTCGTAGCTATATTCCAAACGTCATAACTAACTAAAAAATTTTAAATTATATAGAGGCGATAACTAAGACAAAGGTCAAATCAAAACTCTCGAATGATGAAATATATGGGACTGGACCGGACAAACACACTTCACATTTCACAGACACAAAACTAATCTAATACACAGGAGATAGAACAAACTAATAATTCCACAACGATAGAATTTTTTTATATTTTATTTCAATAATGAAACACAACATTTAGAGATAAAAAGAGAACCAAAGTAAAATTGATAGGAAGACTAAGAAAAATTAAACACTTAGGATTCTGCAATATATTTTGCATAATATCAGTTATTGTATAAAGAAAATTAAATAAATAAAATTGGTCACTTAAATCAAAGTTCCCAGATATCTCTCATAACCCAGAAGTTTCGTTTTGTCATGGGGTTCCATTAGTTCAACTGAATTATTCTTCAAAAAATTTCACCCGAAACTCTAATCTCCAAGTTTTGTGGGCCTGTGTTGGGTGTATGTTCTTACCTGTGTGTGTATAAAGTAAGTAGAGACTTCCACCCATAAGGAGGTGGAGGTCAAATGAAGGATCAAGAAATAGCTGACATTGATCAGACATAACTCACAAGATAGTAATAATTAAACACAATAAGAGTATATTTTTACAATAAATAGCTGACATTGATCAAACATAACTCACAAGATAGTAATAATTAAACACAATAAGCAATTAACATTAGACGCGAAAAAAAATGCTAAAGATTCATATAAGTTTGAAGTTTGATAAGTTACGAGCATAACATGCTTGTCTATTGCTATTTCAAATAACTATATTTACCAAAAATTCCGACTAACACCAAAAAAGTAGAAGAAAAGACACACACCTGGTATGCTTTGAGTGAATGATCAGCTGCCTCTTTCCTCTCCTCACCTCACCAGACTTAAATTTAGCCAATACCAATAATAATAATCCCCTTCCTGCATACAGCTAACCCCAAATCAAAACCCTAAACTACATGCAAAATACTCACATCTTGTAGAAGAACACCGTCGATTCACCAGTAGGCTGGATAACTCCGATTCAACCTTTTATCAATTCATTACCTCCCGCATCCTCCTTTTGCTCTATCGAAGAAAAAATACGCCTCCGAGCTCCAATCATATTCTTGTACCGAGCAAATTCCTCTCCTCAGTAGTCAATTCGACATCTACCTTTGCTTCTTTCTTCATGGAATCGTGTGCGAGAGTGCAATAGTAAAAGATGAAAACCCTAAATTAAATCTTGGTTATCCTATTCCTCCTGTGTACAAAACCCAAATCGCCTGTGAGAAAAGTAGTGTTGAATATGAAAAACCTAAATCAAATATTTGGTTCTCTTCAAAACACAAATCGCATGCGGGAGAAAAGTTAAAGTCTACGTGGGATAATTTTGAATTATAGATGATTTCAGAATGAGGGAAATTTTTTTAGATTCTATGCTTTGAATTTTAATACATATATACTTCAACTGGGTATTTGTATTATACTGTTGAGTTTAACTATGGTTAAGTAACAAACTTTCCTGCCTAAAACGACGCAGCTTAGGGGCCTTTTGAAGAAATAAGTACGTGTCAAAATATTGGCCACGTAAATTATACACAACAGGACCGCATGGGAGATAACTTCAGGGGATTCACGCCCGGGTTTTGGGCTTTGCAGATGGGTGTGTTTATTAATACAAGCCCACTTAATATTCTGAAACAATTACCCAATCAAAAGCCAATCATGGGCTTGAGACAACGAATAACCTTTTAGGCTTGGGCTTTGGTATTTAGGGCGAGCCAACTCAAGCACAAGTAAACTATGTAACTTAAGAATAACCTTTTAGGCTTGGGCTTTGGTATTTAGGGCGAGCCAACTCAAGCACAAGTAAACTAGCCAACTCAAGCACAAGTAAACTATGTAACTTAAGAATACTTTGTAATAATTTATCGACTAGGCCGGTGATGAGCCCCATCACATGGTACGACTTACTACCTCCACCTCCCCCCAATTCGATAACTATTCAATTTGGTTTATAAATCACTAACCATAAATTAATGCATAAATACTAATATATAAAGGTAAATTACCCTGACATTTCCTGAAGTTCTTCTTTATTACCCACAGGTGAATTTTTTTAAGAAATAACTCTAACACCCCTATTAGACTTAATAGATGTTAGTTTTGTTAAAGGCATCAGTAAATTTATGAAATTATCCCATGTGTCATGCTAATGTAAGCATGTGCTCCTAACCATTTGTCACACAGATCTAATTTCCATATCAGTACTCTTGCTGCAACTGCACCCATAACTCTCACCACCGTTGCACTGTGATACCGCCACCCACTACACCACCACCATCATTGCAAAACCCACCATTGTGACAAATAACCTCAATCGGACCACCCGATCAACCCCTACCATCTATCGTCGCCCACTGCATCACCATCAACACATCACCAAAACCCACAATCATGACAAATTAACCTCAATCAGACCACCCAATTTACTCCCCCCTAACCACCTCCCACCGCCTATTGCACCACCACCAATGTAATATCCCTATATTTTGTAGGAATTATTTAATTAAATTAATTACCTTTAATTGATTTATTTTTTAAAATTAATTTATCTATTTATTTGATTTAATGGTATAATAATTTATTTGTTGCTTGATTGTTATTTGATTTGTTGGCATATTGACTTTGTTTATATAGAATGACTTGGTTGTTATAATTATGTGTGTGTGTGTATATAGTCGGAGTTGCAGAACATATCGGAGAAGCTTGCGGCGTCAGTTTTGTTTTGGAAACCTCCAGGCGAGTTCTTTTCTAATTCTTCTCTTAGAACTCGTAAGTTTAACACCTTGAGTATCAAAATCTGTAAATTGAATTGTATGCTAAACCACATAGATTTGGGTTTAAAAGTATGGAATCGGATTGTATGTATATTTATTATACAAGGGCGGAGGGAGGGGTGGGCAAAGGTAGGCTTCAACCCACCCCCACAAAAATAAATAAATAAATATAAATATAAATAAAAATACTATACTACTTTTTAAAAAAAATTAAAAAAAAAAATATTAATATTAACCCACTCCCAAATTAGCCCACCCCATTCAGAAATCCTGGATCCACCCTTATATATATATATATATATATATATATATGTATGTATGTATGTATGTATGTATGTATTGGTTGCGTATGATTTGTTTAAATAGGTTGGTGATGATTTTGCCTGCTTGTATACTTGAATGGATGCAAAATCATGTATTAGATCATCCTATAATTAATTAGGACTGTTCTTACACAAATCAGAGGCAAAATGGGCGAGTTCCAGAGGTCAGAAATTGTTGTCGTGAGGAAGAAGACAACCAGGCTAACTGAGCCGACTTAGTTAGTAACTGAGCCGACTCAGTGGAGAAAGAGCTGACTTAGTTAATAACTAAGCCAACTTCTTTTCCATGCTACTTGGATTTGAGTCTTATTGGTTTTAGATCCAATCCTAAGGGTTTTAATGGACCAGTTTAAATACTAGATTGCCCGTAAATAATTAGAACACTAAATTGATTGGCAAAAGAATAATTAAATTAATTTATAAATCGATTTAAAGGAAAATCTGGTATGCTTACATGGCTCCGTTCCGGGCTGGTTGCCTTACCATCCGAAACTCAAAGATTCAATAAGATTACTAAGAGTACGTGGTCAAACCTGGTGAACCGGGAAAACACTGGAATCTATTAGGAGTGTACTGAAGGCAACCAAACCATGTGAAATGAATTATGTAAGAAAATGAAAGAATGAGGGAAAAGCGAAGCCCTATTCCTATTCTGTTTTTGACCAAGGAAGATTAGAAACTCATTTTTTGAATTCATTTTGTAAATGGCACTGGGAAGCAAATGTGTCAAACAACTAATAAGTTGTTTTATGATATTTATTATGTGTTAACATGTTGTGATTGGGATGGAAATCTTAGTGGACTATTTTATATAATTTGTCCATGCCTATATTGTGCCTATGTTGCTTATTGTATGCTTTATTGCGCTTTTAATTTATATTAATGGTATGAGGTAGATTCGGATGCATAAATGAGTTGCCAAAGGTATAAACAAACTGCCTTATTAATTGTATGAATAAATTACATACATAGGAAGTAGAGAGGATTTGTTAATTTATAGTATGGACAAAAATATACTTTTGGAGGCATGAATTAGTTGCCAAGATACAAACAAGTTGTCTTTCAATTTGAATGGACAAAAATATACTTATGGTGGAATGGATGATTTGTCGAAGTATAAATAAATTGATATATAAGTTAGATGAATAAATATACATCTACAAATATTGTTTTTATAATTTGGAGGAAACAAATATTCTTATATTTGAACAAACTAATATTTAGAGGATGATATGTTATTTTATAGTATGAATAGAAGCATATTTGTGGAGGCATAGATAAGTTGCCAAAGCACATGTGATTTGTATAAACAAAATCATACATTTGAAGATATTGGAATTGGGATTAAAGGAACACATTCCTTCATTTGATAATTTATTATTTAATGGTTAATTAACCGTTTAAAAATGGAATTGGGGTTTAAAGGAGTGTTATGCTACTTGATGATTGGATTTAAATATAGATATGATCAAATTATTATTCATAGTTTTGGAATGTAGGGAATGTATTTAACGAACTTGACCTTTATATATATATATATATATATATATATATATATATATATATATATATATATATTATCTTATATTAAAAGTTAAAACTTTAATTAGGATGATTTTTGTTAGAGATGTTTTATTTATCGGTTTTTAGAGACTTGGTAGAGGGAACTTGGTCGTGGGTTTAACCTACGCTTTATTTTCAGGTTATTAGAAGTTCCAGTCTCAAGGCTGAGGATCCGCAACTTGGAGACTTGTCTTTCATCTACTCATCCTATCTACTTCTAAGTAGCATTAATATTTATTGTTGGATATTAGTTTATTTATGTATGAAATGGTGGATTAATAATTTATGGTTTAAGGGTCCTTTACTTACAGGATTCTCAAGTTGTATTTTAGATATTTAAATTTATGGATTTCATTTTGTAAGGAAAGATTTATTTAATCAATAGAATTTCTTTCAGCAAATTATTTATTTTTTTTATTTCTCTTGTATTCTGTATTCGTTTATTATCAAATTGTTTTTGATATCCTCGGGTCTCCAAGTGTGGGTCTAGCCAACCTACACGTGGAAATTTGGGGATATCACACTGACACTTCGTCGAAACCCACCATCGTGAGTCGTGACACCTCACTAAAACTCACCATTGTGACACCTCAATCAAACCACCCAACCAACCCCCACCACTACTGCCTCTATCTTTTCACCACCAAACCATAAGTCTGACAACGTAAAAATACAACACGAATCTGTGTAATCAAATATCTACCTATAACATCAAAATCAATATCTTTTCCAATCGAGATTGAAACCCTCTCCATCTTTGTCTTCAACACAGTGAAACTGTTGACCCATTTCCGTCTCCAATCGAGACTCTAAACGATACGTTCTACATCTCACATCAAAACCTTAAATAAATTCGAATCAATTACCAGAGACATCTCCAATCAAAACCCTAAACAAATTCTAATCAATTTCCAGAATCATGGTCTGGATCAAACTTCAATCCCGCCCAAACTTGCCTATAGATCCAATCTCCTCTTTCAAAACCCTATAAAAACCACCACCCTCACTCGATCCAACATTATACTTTTAAGACAATTTTCTTTCCCTTATAACTCTTGAGATTCATCATAATATTGAAAAAAATTGTGAGATAGTGAATGGTGAGATCAGAGCAATGAACATAGAAAGTGACGAGAAAGAGATAATCCCGATGGGAGGAGGAGTTGGAGGTGTCGGTGGTGAGAGGAGTTGGTGGTGTCTACGGTGGGAAGGGAATATTTAGAGTTTCTGTGTATATCTACTTATTAAAGTGTATAAAATATATTAAATAATTATAAAATAATAAGGGTAGTCTTGGTATTTTATATTTTAAATTAATTGACTTTTAATGATCTAACAGTCATGTAACGTCAAGGGTGGTGAGGGTGAATTCAACAAAACCTCAAAGGAAGTTGACCTAAAATTTTCAAAAACTTGCATCTATGAGTAATTAGGAAGAGCCTCAGGGGGTGTTAAAGTAATTTACCTAATATATAATTATATGATCCTTTCAAATTGATACATTTTTTAGGCATTACCTAGTGGCTTAGTTGGTAGTTAGTCCAGCTCCCCCGAGCGGTTCGTGTCCCCCCTCTTTTCGTTTGTTAGGAAAAACAAAATAGATACATTTTTCCTTATTTTAGAGACATGCATGTTTCACATATGATATATCATATAATTGCATACATTTAAAAAACAATTTCTATAACTTTTGAAAAGCCTGATTAAAACCTAAAACAAGTAATTTCAACAAAACAAATAACATTAAACCACGAAAACAGAATCAATAGCAAGCACAAGATAAGTAAAAATAACAATTATGACACAGTTTTAAAAAAGTATTTTCCAAAAAAATAATATAGTATTTACAACTAATTTCAACAATAAATCCCTAGACCCTAAATTATAAAAAACTAGTTTGAACAATAAATTATAAAAAAAACCATATATTATTAAAAAAAAAAAAATACTTAATTTAATGATCACTGGGACCACAACCCTATAAACAAACCCTAATTTTTATTACAATATCATTAAACCCTAATATCAATACTCCCAAACAGAGGACACAGTCCATCTTGAATCATACCCACCCAACAATAAAGACCCACATTGAAAAAGAAAGAATATAAAACCCTAAGTACTACACTAAAAAAATATAGTATTTACTACTAATTTCAACAATAAATCCCTAAAATTTAAATTATGAAAAACTAGTTTAAACAATAAATTATGAAAAAACATATATTATTTTTAAAAAATACTTAATTTAATGATCACTGGGACCACAACCCTATAAATAAACCCTAATTTTTATTACAATATCATTAAACCCTAATATCAATACTCCCAAACAGAGGACACAACACCTCAAATCATACCCACCTAACAATAAGGACCCACATTGAAAAGAAAAGAATATAAAACCCTAAATACTACAAAGCAACGACAATGGGTGAAAGTTTGTCCACACTTGACACCATTTTGTCTAAGAAAAGTGACACGAACCACTTGGAATCTACTAAGATCTTCCACCTTTGACCGATTACAAACACAAGACACATACAAAACACTCGCTTTCAACGATTACACTCAACACTCGCCTCCATAACACTCGGTGCACATACACAAGCACGACACAACAATTTAAGGCATACAATCATTTTATTAGAATATACAACCCACAGGACATCGTTTCACACGGAGGCTATACACCCAACACGACATCGTTTCACACGGAGGCTATACATCCAACACGACATCGTTTCACACAGTGGGTATACACCCCAATACGACATCGTTTCACAAAGGGCCATAATTGTCATTTTTAATTCACAATTTCATTTTAATAAAATATTAATATACTATCAAGGGCATTTTTGTCATTTCACAGTTACTTAACGATTTTGTTACAGAAAAGAGGCAACGTGATAGTTTATGTCAGTTCAGAGGATTTATTTAATAATTGAGGGGGTAATATGTAGTTTTTGTAAACAATAGGGGGCTTTATGTATTTGGCCTTATTATTTATTCCGAATGAGAGCACACGTCACAAAATCTCATGTCTTAGGCAATTGCACTCGCAGAAGATTATTTGCCATCCACGCGCACTTACAAACACATCAATCACGTACTCTGTTGAATCTCTCTCTTTTCTCGCGATCAGAACATTCAGGCATGTCTCTTTCCCATTTTCAGTTGATTTTCACTGTAATTACTGAATTAAATTATATATCGTACCTCTGTTGTTTCTATGCTGACGAATAGAACTGTTGTTTCTATGCTGACGAATATTCTATTGTTTGTATGAACTGGGTTCTTTATTTCGTATTAACAAACACTTTTTGTGACTCTCTTACCAATTTTCTCTAATCTGTCCTCATTTCAGTTTCCCAATTCTCTCTCTCTCTGAGAGTTTCTATCCCAATCCGTTTTCAGGTTCTCAATTATCTCAATGCCGATGGATCATGCAGAGCTAACCACCGAGCAGGTTTATATATATATATATATATATGCGCGCGTGTGTGTATGTATTTATATGTATAGAACGTGTTTACATATGACTAGTTGATTAACTGTCAATCTGAATGGGTGACTTAATTTCAATCTGTATTATATATATACACACATTATTTGATTAATTTTGGATTTGTTCACTTGACCAAAATTTAATGTTGTGCCACTTGATTTGGTGTGGTAATGTGTTCATGTGATTTGGGTTTAGATCTGCTTTTGTTGCATTGGAAATTTTAACCTTTGTGCACTTATTAATCGGTTAATGTTTGATGTTTTTGATTTATGAGAATATACTCAATTATTAGTCAAATTAAATGAGATGTGATAAAAGAAAAGTGTTTCCATCTATCTCATTGATAACAAATTCATATTTGCTATTAATTTGAGTTTTTTTTTTCCTTCTTCAATCATGTCATGCCGAGGATTTGGTGTGTCTGATTTGGGTTCGTGTGTCGGACACATATGATGTACTCATACCCATGTCGCATGGTGCCAACTCATGTAGGAGAGTTCATGTAACGGAGCAAGAGGGTTAGGGTTGGTATTATGAAATGTACTTTGAAATATTTTGCGAGTTGTGATGTAGAGAGAAATGATGATCTGAATCTGTGAACCTCTCGCATTGTGTTGTAAGATTAACTTATGAGTCAAGTGTATGGTTATGGGAGCTCCTGTGCTGCAATGTGCCCTGATCACCTCAACTTTATCCTGCCACTAGATATTCTTAAGGAGTACTTCTCGTATAGTCAGAAAGAGTGAGAACTGCTTAAATATCATGCTAAAAGGGTATGCGATATTCGGGTACCTGGAATATGAACTAGAATTTCAGACTTCATTGAAAAGTTAAATACATTGAATTAAAAATAGGATTGTGTCTTTATCCCTTTTACTGTTCATTCAAGACATAACCAATGTACTTTTATGTGGCTAATGTATGGAGTTTATGTTCTAGACATAAAGTTATTAATTTTATGCCTAATGTGTAAAGTCAAAGTGTCATGTACTGGAAACTTTTGTTTTACAAAACCATATCAAGTTGTACTTTTTATTTAATTGAGTCGTGTTCAAGCAAAGGTTTAAGGTTCTAGTTCAACAAGCAAAAAGGCGATGCTCTCATGAATGATCAGCTATACACAAAGACAAAGGCACAAGAGTGTTGTGAGGACACTCATTTTATTTTATTTTTTGAAAATCTTAATTTTGATTGAAAGTTTTTTTTTTTTTTGGCCTTTTAAGCAAGACAGGGACATGTGCACTGATACTCTATCATTCCACAGAATCTGTTCGATACACCTTTACAAGTTCCCAAAAATTTATTCCAGAAACTTGTGCATGGTGCACTTGAAGCCTATACCAGTACATTCTGTCTTCAGTTTTGAAACATTCCGAAACAAAAACATCTGATCCGGCATACTTTTGAGCTGGAGTAGTATACTTTTAGTCTATTATGAAAAATAGGAATTTCTGATTTCCAAATCATGTCCTAATGTAAATCAAACTTCATGAAAGGCTTTTTCTAATCATTTTATGAGTTGGAAAAGGTTTCCAAATCAAATTTATACATGTTTTTTTTTATTATTCTATAAATATAGAAGAAGAAAGAAGAGAGAATATTCCTTTCACCCTCTCTTTGGGGCATAAGCCTTTCACTCCTTTTATTATTTTTCCAAAGGGCTTGATTTATGTAAATTGGGTACATGGCTCCCGTCTAAAGATCCCATGATCAATAGTCTATTAAAAGTTAATGTTTGCTAACAACATTGTACCAAGTAGGTTTTACTTAAAAAAGAAAACAGAGAGAGAGAGAGAGAAACTCATTCAAGTTGGTCATTAACCTTTCTCATGGGTGTGTACTCACAATGATGGCTGTTTATCCCCGTTCATGTTATTATAATTTTATTTCTTTTCAATTAGGTCAAATATCACACTGGTTGTAGTATCATGATGTGATGTATCATTTTTTATGGGGATCAACTGAAGATGCTTTTAACTTTGGCTTTGAATGAAAACACTAATCACTTACGAATCAGTTTCAACTTGTGTGGCACAGGTGTTTTAAACCAAAACATCAATTTGAAGGTTTATGGAATTTAAAACCATAAGTAAAAAATTTTATGCCTGGAAATCCAAAACCTAGTGGGAGCGGAATTGGGTTATAAGGGGAGCTGGTTAACACTTCTTGCAGATCTACAAGAATGAGAATGTGCCTGTTACAGACAACTCCATTCCATAATCTAATATGGGCAAATTGTCAAGTTCTGATCTAAGGCTGCTGTCCAGTTAAAATGGCGTTTTTGATGGAACCACTGCATTTCAAATGCTCCGTCTCTGAACACATCTCTCATAGTCATTTTATTTTTTTTGATAAATAAAATGTATTGGAAAGCGTTCAAAAGGGGAACGCATCCCACGAGATATACAAGGAACCAAACCAAAATACAACCCTATGGACCCAAAGAACCCAAAAAGTCCTGTGGTCTAGCAGTACAAGGCTCCTACTTTCCAAAGGGAGGTCAGGGGTTCGAACCTCAGTGGAGGCAGTGTGTGTGAGTCCCAACTAGGAAAAAAAAAAAATCCACAATCTCATCTAAAGATATACAATTTCTCTCATATTCATCAGAGAGTCAAAGAATGCTGTGGCTTTCTCAATGATCCATATCCTTTCTACCTTCAGAGAAAGATTCATGATGAACTTCCTCAGTTGAATCCTATTATTACCTAGCGAAGCCTTTTGATCTGCGAAAATTATACAAGGATGCGGAAATGAAGCGTAGATCAATGAACTACCTCCTGGTTTATCCTTTGAAAATCCCATTATGGCCCATTGCTTCTGACAGAATGAACTTCTTTCTCTGAAGGAGAATATTCTTGTGTCAAGTTCCAGTTGTAGCTATGTGTTTGTGTGATGTATTTATGTAATCTCGAATTTTAATACACAGGGATGCAGTTGAATTCTTATGGTTTTTATCATGTCTTCACTTATAAATTAGTGCGAAAAATTATGTTCCGTAACAAATGTTCTGCGTAAAGAAGACTGTGGAAAGAAAGTATGCTCTGTACATTCTATTGTATCATGAATATGTTCATTCATTCCTCGGGGTAAAATCCTGATGGAATCCACATTTTAAGTTGCTTTTGAGGTGCTCAAAACTCGACCACAATTTAAAAATTGATCTCCCTAATTCCTGCTCTCGCTCCCGCTCTCAATCTTGCTCCATGCTTCTTTCACTTCAGGCTTAGATATGGCCTTAGATTCCGTTACTAAGTATGTGACATGCCCTTGGAGAACTTACTCGAGATATTTGAAAGCAAGCAACAAATTCCTGACACTTACTGATTATTTGGTTTGTAGGATAACATGGGTACTCCATACTCAGTTCAGCTCGTTCCACTTATCATATTTCACAGTGAAAAGATTTCCTTAATTTTTAATGTTGAACATTATACCTCTAGGTTGGACTAAATAATTTGGGTTTGTACAGTTAAATTTGTTAGACTAGTAGCAATATAGTTATTTAAAGAACATTATGTAAATATTACCATTTTTATGTTCAAGGTTCTGAAGAGGGATATCCCATGGGAGACGTACATGACAACTAAGCTGATCTCAGGAACAGGCCTTCAGCTGTTAAGGCGTTATGATAACAGAGCTGAAAGTTACAGAGCAACGCTGCTGGATGAGGTAATGTTATGTCACTCTCTATGCTTGCTCTGAGACGTACTTGTTATCTACCTTAATCAGATTCAGGTCTTATGGTATCCTTCTCTTATTATGCAGTTTACCAATGCCCCCATGTTCTTGAAATGATGTATCTTATTGGAACTTGAAGATTTTCCATCTCATGTGTATTTCACCCTTTTTTTTTTGGTGTTTAAGCAGGAAATGCATAATAAAACTCCATATTTTCTATATGTCACAAGCACATTAACATGTTGTAGGATACCTTGCTTTGCTTATGACAGAATGTCAGAATAATATTTGGGATGTTACTCTTTTTTTTTTTCTATTTTTTTTTTTTGGATAAGTAAAATTTTTGGGATGTTACTCATAAGGATTTGAAAATATAGTTGCATCTTAAGATACTTTTATATATCAGATTTCATTCATTTTTTTAATGTTCTTATTTTTCCCGAATGTTCAGGCAAACACACACACACCCACAATATTGCCCTTAGCAGGGCTCAAACTCTCAGCCTTCCCTTTGGGGAAGAGAGATCGTACCATCTGGGCTAATGCCCATTGGTAGATTTCATTCATTTACCACTGACTAGAATGGTAAAAATTCGATTTCATTCATTTACCATGTAAATTCATTTTTGGTTTACCACCTATGGATCCCCTTTTGTCCATTCTGTACCCAGATGATGCATGCTTATTTTTGACACTTCAAGTGTGATCATTAGTTGATTATGTCCATTCTGCACCCAGTTATAGCTTGCTGAATGCTGACAGACAATTTGACACATCAATTATGATAATTTTTTCAACCTCTGTCGGCATTGCTATGGAAATATACTGGGTTATCAACTCAATCACTTGGTGTATGCACAACTATTTTGGTAGTATAAAATTTTATTTTTAATTATCCAAATAAATAAATCAACTACTGGTTTGATTAATTTCTCACTAATTCAACAACCTTTGATGCAATATGCATTTCACACAATTTGGCTTATTATTTGTTAAAACTTTTCTGTTGTTTATCCCAAGTATAGAGATTGTAGGTTGAGATGGGAAATCCTCCTTCAGCACTTACATATTTATATATTTATTTTTACCATAGGGTGATTAATATGGGTGGTTCTAGTTCTAGTCCAATTTTCCTTTCATATTATATTGGCTACTGGTCTATTTATCCTTCACACTAGCTTTCATTCTTTAGTCATAAAACTTTAAGGTCTCATGCCATTCATCATTAGTGGTGCTTTAGATGGCTACTTTAAATGTATAATTAAGATATAGTTGTGAATTTGTTGTAACTGAATTTGAAAAAATAAAATAAGCTCGATAAAACTTCCTCTGATATTGACAAATGGAAGCAACTGTGACAGGATGGTCCGGCTTACGTTTGTGTGTTTGTTAGCATTTTACGTGACATATTCAAGGAAGAAACGGTAGAATATGTTCTAGCCTTGATTGATGAAATGCTTTCAGGTAATTGGTAAATACTTCATCCTTTGGACCATGTATATAAGTTGAATAGCTGACCTATTGTTCCTTTTCCTTGACAGCAAACCCGCAAAGAGCTCGATTATTCCATGACAAATCTCTTGCAAACGAAGATATGTATGGTCCTTTCCTAAGGTAATTACTCTTTAAAAATCTCTGAACTTAAGATTGTTGTATCTGGATGGGACTACATGTGATGTTCTTTTGATAGTTTGTCTCTCTCCCTCTCCCGAGGAACTGAATGCGTGACACAAATCTAAATAAAGAAGCTTCTATTCAGTGGATGCTTGGGATAATATTACCACGTTGCAATACCACAGTCCTTTATCCTTTCTGTCAAATTATTTTGCTATGTTCTACCTTATTTTCCATCTTCCTCCTTTTCTTGAATGCATTTTCTTTCTTGATTTGAGTTCCTCCAATTGGTACTGATTCTTCCATAAGTAATAATTCTCTTTTAAATTTTGAATGAATTTTTACATTCGTTTTCATGTTTGAACCATTCATTTCTTCCAATCATAATGGAATTTGATAGAGTGAGATTTTTTTATTTTCGTTATTTTGATGAAATGTCACCTTCTTCTGTTTAGATTTAATTGAGGCTTAAATTTAACACACAATGGAAGGATAAACATTAGAAAAGGCAGTATTATTTGTCTCGATTCTTTAAGTTCCCATCTTTCTCTGACAAAAATTTAGAAGGAACACTGAGATTTAAATGAACATGCATTGTATACCTTTGTGGTATGGCATTTCAAGACCATGTGTACCCACTGGATGGCTTAGCTTGCCCCATTGTTTATTGTGGAGTTTCAGCCTTCAGTTTAACCTCTATGCTTGCTTTTGTTTATAATAGCTTTATAGACTGTGTCCTATTTTTTTTACGAGTCATATGACTTTTTAAGCGTGGTAATGGTCAAATAATAAAAGGGTTTTGAGAGCATGAAGGGATTCGTGTTCATATTGGTCATGACAAGTTTTACGCCGGTTGACAAGCTACCTGACCCTCCTCCTCCTCCTTTATCTGGGCTTGGGACCGGCTGTGTAAAGAACACATGCGGAGTTTTTGAGAGCATGAAGGGCTGCATTCTAAATTTGTTGATTCAGTTGTAATTGTGTATCCCATCTTATTTGGAAGAAAAGGGATTAACAAGTAATTCTTGCGTTTCTCAAATCCTGGAGCCTCACTTATCTGAGTCCTGACAGACTTCTTTTCTTTTCCTATTCTTTTTATTTTTTATTTTTTTATAACTATTATTGGGGTACTGACTAAATTGTGCTGCAGTAATTAACTTTTTGGTATTTATCTGCTGAATATTCGTTGGAGTTGTAGTTTTGCTCTTAATGCAACAAATAGATAGCAATTGATTCTCTGTTGCATCACATAAAGAGGTTTGTTGGGTTTGTGTTGGTGTTCTTTGTGATGTAGAAAATTATGAGGCAGTGTTATGGGAACATGAAGAAATTGTACAAGATGTGTTCCTAAGAAATGTTGAGGAGCTAGAAATGAAGAGTTAATACAGAACTTGGTCCATTTTATGCCAGCGATAATTTAAAATTTTAGTATCTTCTAAACCTTTGATTACTGTTAGCTGTTCTAGTGCTTACTGCCTGTCCCGTTAATTTATTTTGATAACAGTTGTCATTTTGGTAAAATAAAGAGCACCCAATATTGTAGAAGCCTGGATCTAACATACAGAAAGTATGATTGCAGATTTTCAGAAGCAAAAACTTCATAAAGCTTTGTTTTCGATATAGAAACATTACGCGTAAATAATGTAATTTTGAAGTGTGTTTCTGTGACCCTCATGATTCTGAAGCATGATCTGTGCACCTAAGAGGCACATGTGGTCGTCATCTTCATATATTTCCAATTACACTAATATAAACGTATCTACTCGGTCGAAACCATCTGGTTATTCTTAATGTCTTTTGCTTAGAAGTACAAATTGTTAATCAACGATGGAAAAGCTTTGACCACTTCCTGGTGGAAAAATGTATTCATTTGTGAGGCAACATATGGTTAGTTGTGTCAAACAGTCAATAGAAGTTTGCATACATGACTTAGGGATGTGGGGGTTTGGAAGTGTATTCAGAAGGGGTGGGCTGTTTTTTCCACTCATGTCCGTTTCAGACTTAGGGATGGCAGGAGGATCAGTTTTTGGGAGGATGTTTGGTGTGGGGATGTTTCTCTTGCTCTGGCTTTCCCTCGGCTGTTCAAGATGGCTTCGGATAGACAGACCTAGGTGGTTGACTGTTATCATCTTGATAATGGGAGACTGGTTTGGGATGTTCGATTCAGGCGTCTTTTTTAGGGTTGGGAGGTTGAGGATGTCACTCTTTTGTTGGAGGTGTTGTATCGACAGGGCGTCATGGTTGGTGATTCTGATTGTTGGATTTGGAAGCCAAATTCGCAAGGTCGCTTTGTTGTTCGTTCTTTCTTCAGGTGTCTTACAGTTGAGCCTGGATGTTCCTTCCCGTGGAAGTCTGTTTGGCAATCTAAGGCTCCTCTCAAGGTGGCTTTTTTTTGCTTGGACCTCTGTTTTGGGTAAGATTTTGACCCAAGACAATTTGAGAGGAGAAATCAGGTGGTTGTCAATCGGTGCTACATGTGTCTTCGGGATGAAGAGACGGTGGATCATCTTCTTTTACATTGCTCTGTGGCTAAGGAATGTTGGGACTTGATGCTTTGTTTGTTTGGGTTCCATTGGGTTATGCCTCGCTCCTCTAGACAGATGGTTGAGGCTTGGAGAGGGTGCTCTGTGGGGGCCCATATTCGTGATGCTTGGAGGGCTATGCCTCTTTGTGTGTGGTGGTGCATTTGGCTGGAGAGGAATAAAAGATATTTTGAGGGCAAGGAGAGGCCTAATTCTTTTCTTAAGTTCTATAGTCTTTCCACTCTTTTTTGTTGGGTTTCGGGTAGAGATTTTAGATCTTCTGAGGATATTGTTGTTTTCTTGGCCTCTTTGAAGACTTAAAGGGCTGTTCTTTTTGGCCCTGTGTTTGTTCTCTTGGGATGCGTTCCCCTTTTGAACGCTTTCAATGCATTTCTTACTTATCAAAAAAAAAAAAAAAAGAAAAGAAAAAAAGAAGTTTGCATACATGACATCTGAAAACCATTGTTGTGACTTATGCTAAAGTGCAATTTTCGTGGAATTCTATCAGTTTCTTCCTCTAAGTTATCTTTCATCTCATTTGGTGTTCTTTTTCCTTCCGAAATATATTTAAGTTCTTTTGGTAAATGAAAATCAGTGTTGTTCTCAATTGGATTTTAAACATTGGCAATGAAGTTATTAATTGGATTGAACTAGTTTTCTCATATTCACCAATACATGAAATTTGGCAATGAGATTATTAATTGGAATGAACTAGTTTTCTTATGTTCACCCAATCAAAGAAACCTTACATGTTTGACACTCCTTTTCCATTTTCAGATTACTCTGGAAAGGTAACTGGTTCATACAAGAGAAGAGCTGTAAGATACTTTCTCTGATAGTAAGGTAATTAAATCATGATTGTTTCACAATATGGTTCAAGTCCCAAGAGATAAAAGGAATGTATACTCTCTCTAATAGTAAAGTAATTAAATCATGATCGTTTCACATTCTAGCTCAAGTCTTAGAGAAAACAGAATGTATTTGTGTGATTTAAACTTTGCAACCACACTATTTTTTTTGTTATTACAGTGCTAGGACAAAAGTCCAGGATGGTGTCACTGGAAATGGAGAAACCTCAAGTTCAAAGAAGAAATCCATTACAATTGATGATGTTCTGAAAGGTCTGGTAGAATGGCTTTGCGCGCAGGTTTGTAAACAGCGTTGCACTATTTGCTGCTTTAAATGTGAATATGAATTTAAGGCATGATTGTTACTATGAAGCACGGACAAGGACACAGGTATGACACTACACAGACTCGGCAATACCGAAAATTTCAAAAAAATAGGACACGAACACGGCAATAAAATAGTAATATAATTTATTATTATATATATATATAAATAACTTTTGCTCAAATTTTAATTTATATTAATAATCATAGTGCATTTAAATTAGGCCCACACATAGCCCATATTTCTTTTTAAAGACATAAAGGTCCAATTCCCAAATTTCATTAAAATACAAATATATAATATAATTTATTATTATATATATAAAAAATAACTTTTGATCAAATTTTAATTTATATTAATAAACATAGTGCATTTAAATTAGGCCCACACATAGCCCATATTTCTTTTTAAAAACATGAAGGTCCAATTCCAAATTTCATTAAAATACAAATATATATATATATATATATCCAAACAAAACACTATACTTGTTTTTTTTTTCTCCTTTATGGTACTCACACACACATGCCTCCACTGAAGCTCAAACCCCACACCTCCCTTTGGGAAGTAGGAGCTTGGTATTGCTATGTCACTGGCCTATGGTAAAAACACTATACTTGTGGCAAACAAGCCCTGAAAGAAGATAAGATTGATTGATCCCTCTCTCTTCCACTCACTTTTTCAGTTTTCATACTCGGCTCTCTGATCCTCTCTTCCAGCCGATCCTCTCATCCCTCCATCTCTTTTGTCTCTCTTTATCTCATCCATTTGTTTCTCTTGAATGGATATGCATATACGTACCCACATACCCATCATCTAGACAGTGGCTCCATCTGGTCTGGCTCCTTCATCTTCTTCCTCTATATTTAACAAAGAAAAGTTCTGCAGTGTGTCCTCCAGCGTATCCAGCGGTGTCCGGGCGTGTCCTCCGGTGTCCTGACGTGTCAAACATATTTTTTTTTAAAAAAAGAGGACACCTTTAAGGAGTGTCCGACACCGGTATGGTCCCCTCTTCAGCAACATGCTTGCCCCCTTCCACCCCCCACCAGAACAAAATTACAAAGAAAATATGGACATGTATTGACCTACCCGAAAAAAAAAAAAAAAATGTTGGCATGTGTTGAATCCTCTTGGTTTCCTACCCTCTTTTCTATCTTAAGAGAAGAATTACTCAATCTCCCATCATTAAACCTAAAACTAAAAATGTGGTTGACCTCATATATGAAATTATTAGTTATTAAGCATGGTATATCTGAACCATCTTTTTATTAGATAGTTAGGTCTTGAAATGTTTATATATTAGAGTGGTTTGAAGTTGAGTTTTACTCTCCTTGTCATGAACTCCAATCATTTTCATTCAGATGTGAATTTAATCAGTTGTAAGGAATAATTTTCCATGACACTAGTCATGATTCTGATACCTGATTACTTCTGCAGCTCAAGAAGCCTTCCCATCCTAGTCATGGTATCCCAACTGCTGTCAATTGCCTGGCAACTCTATTGAAGGAGCCTGTAGTCAGATCTTCATTCGTTCAAGGAGATGGGGTGAAGCTGCTCGAACCTCTAATTTCTCCGGCATCCACCCAGCAGTCCATCCAGGTAACTCTGTCTTTTCTTGATGGCTACTGTAATAAACAAACCATCTATGCTGAAGATAGCACATTTCAATCTTATGAATGGGCAGGTTGAGTCAGGTTTTTCTCATCTGTAAATGATCAAGCTTTCGAGTTCTGGGACTGATTACTAAATATTTCATATTTCCTTTTAGTTAAGTTTACACAATTCAGATTTGATGATTCTGAACTTTGCCCGCTTGATGCAGCTCCTTTACGAAACATGTCTCTGTGTTTGGCTTCTGTCTTATTATGAGCCTGCGAGTGAATACTTGGCTACCTCTAAAACTCTACCGCAATTAATTGAGGTTGTCAAGAGTTCGACAAAGGAGAAGGTGAGTTATTCGCCTTTCATTCTCATACCATTTTTTTCCTAATGACTGCCTGCTTTAGTAGTCATATACTTTGCTATATGTTTCTATTGCAAGGTTTTTATATACATACAGTTGTTGCTTATTATTTTTATTTCATAGATTGGCCTCTTCTACTCTCGTTCCTATTCTTCTGACTGTCAACCTAAATGTACATGGCATGCATTCTATCCTTCCACTGCAGGGAAGATTTTGTCCATGTCAACATTTCTTAGGAACTAGTTTATTGTTATCAGCATATATTGAAAATACTTGTTTATTTATCTGGAAATTTGAGACATTTGATGCATCAATGACTGCTAGGTTGTCAGGGTGGTTGTCTTGACCCTTAGAAACTTGCTTTATAGAGGGACTTTCGGAGCTCAAATGGTAGACCTTGGACTTGCGCAAATTGTCCAGAATTTAAAAGCACAAGCATGGAGTGATGAGGTGAGAAAACTTTTAATTTCATGTGTTCTTAATTTGGCCTGTCATATTCGTATATTTAGTCAATAACTTGTGTAGACGGAAGGGAGTTCATGGAAAATTAATTCTTGATTTCAATGATTACTAATTTACTAGTACACATTCTATCAGAAAAAATGATTTCCACATTTACCACCTTCCCCATTTTGGTAGAGGAGGCAAAAGGGAGCCTTGAATTTTTTTTTCAACCCTAAAGTACCTTGAGAAGGAAAACTTTGTCATGGTAAATCTTTGAAATTATTATTATTGAAAAAAAAAAAAAAAAAAAAAAAAAATTGGCCGAAGTACTGAAACCGTGCATGTATCTTATATATTTATAACAAGTAAAGAACAAATCCACTGGGGGTGCTAGACTGGGAATATTACTCGTGTGCATGCAAGGTATACTGCTATAAAAAATGAAGAAGATGGATTAAAGTCACCAAAAACTTTATGAAAGAATCAACAATAGCAGAGGACAACTTCAAAATCAAAATCCTTAACATAATTTGTTTCAACCCAAGGACAGTAAGCTCCTCCCCTTCACTGTATTCCTCTCTCTCTCTCCAAATGTTTCACGCTAGGCAAAAGGAATCAGCATGCTACAACTTCTTTACTCTGCCTCAGGAAAACCCCCTCCAGATTTGAAATCCTTAATATAATCTGTTTCAACCTAATATAGTAAGCTCCTCCCCTTCAAAAGTACGCACATTCCCCTCTCTCACTCTCCAAATGTATCACATAAGGCAAAAGGGGGCAGCATCCAACACCTTCCTGACTCTGCCAAAACCCCCCCTCTATTGTCACAAGTTCATCATTGACCTTCTTATGGTCCAAGAAATCCTGATCAAGGAGAGAAGGAGGCTCTGAGGATCCCTCACCTCTCTATAATTTAACAAAAGATGGCTGGCTCTCTTCTCCATCTCTTCATACACAGAAAACCAGTTAGTCATAAGGAAGCCCCTTCTCTTCAAGTTATCGATGGAGGATAGCATCTTATTCCGCTTCCCAAGCGAAAAAGAATCCAACTTAAGTGAGGCCTTCATGTGCCATATGCTCCTCCACGAGAAGTCAATATTCTCCAAGAAAACACTTCATAAGACACCCAAACAGTAAAGACCACGCCTCTGACCAGTTTCCATCTGAACGAGTCTTCTGCCTCATCACTGATTCTGAAACCCTCAAGCATATCAAGCAAAGTCATTGTTGTCTTGATATCCCAGTCTTGAAAGGATCTTCTAAATTTAGACTCCACATTGCCCACTAATCAGTGTGTACGTGTGTGTAGATTCCACACTACCCAGCTTGTTAAGGAAGAGAGAAAATCCACAAACGAGACATTCTTATCTTCCATGATCCTAAAAGAATTTTCTTTTATCCTAAAAGGATTAAGGAATCTCTCCTTTTAGTGGTTGGTTAGTGATAAAAAAGTTCAGGTATCAATAACTGATTTCTGTTACGTCTTGCCGGATATTGCTGATAGCATTCAGGTTTACAACTGCTACATAACATGGTATCGAGATTTGAAACCTTGTTCCAAAGGTGGTATTTGAGTGCATTTACAGTTGCTAATCTTACATCCTTTAGTGCTCCAACTTGATTTCATATCTTTTTTCCTTTTCTATTTTTGAAGATATATATATTAATTGGGTGATGAAACCACCCACCCGCCATGGCCCTTTTTTCTTAAAGTGAATAAATGTTGATTAGATGATGCATGTATGCAATACTGCTCTTTTTACCTTGCTGTTTATTGCCTTCATTCAAAGTTAATTTCTTGGAGATGTTTCTGTTTCAATCTTCAAGTGGCCACAGCGGATCCATAAAGCTTACTATGAACTCATTCTTGTATAGCCCCTTAAACTGAGGAAAGAGAATTATTTGCATCCTGTTTACTTAACTTTGTGGACCCTTTTAACACTTTATGATACTTGTTTCTTATTGCTGTTGTTTTGTAATTGATCTTGGCATTTTTCTCTAGGACCTGCTGGAGGCTCTTAATCATCTGGAAGAAGGAATGAAAGATAACATTAAGAACTTGAGTTCTTTTGATAAGTACAAGCAAGAAGTCCTTCTTGGCCAACTTGACTGGTCACCAATGCACAAAGATACTATATTCTGGCGTGATAATATTATGCATTTTGAAGAGCATGATTTCCAGGTATCCCTTTTGCACTCGTTCAATGTTTTCTTCTCTGCCATCTATTTGTTAAGAGACTCTATCAAGGAATCTCAATTGTACTACTGATAGTGTACTATAATTATGCATGCCAAACGGTTCAAAGTTCAATTTTTTATTCTCTGCCATCTATTTGTTAAGAGACTCTATCAAGGAATCTCAATGGTACTACTGATAGTGTACTATAATTATGCATGCCAAACGGTTGAAAGTTCAATTTTTTCTTCTCTGCCATCTATTTGTTAAGAGACTCTATCAAGGAATCTCAATCTTACTACTGATGGTGTACTATAATTATGCACGCCAAACGGTTCAAAGTTCAATTTTTTCTTCTCTGCCTAACGGTTAAGAGGCTCTATCAAGGAATCTCAATGGTACTACTGATAGTGCACTATAATTATGCACGCCAAACGCTTCAAATTTCAAACTTCTGTTTTCACTGAATGTACATTAAATTTTCAACTTTCATGGCATTTAGAAATATTCATCCATGTAGATTGGGGAGAGAGAATTCATGTGGCTGACCCCATTCATATGGGACTAAGGCAAGGATGATGATGATGTAATACCTATACTTGTCAACCCAAATCATTTTTGTAAATCATAAAAGAAGCTACTTAGCTGTGGAACAGTTTGACATAATGCTCAATAGAAGAGTTCTTGACACTAACAGAACATAATAAAGAAAGGTTAAATTTTATATACATAATAAATCATAATTACTGATGGAGAAACATATTTGTTATTTTAATGATAATAAGGGGCTTTAAGCATGTATGTGTAGGTGTGTGTGGGTGTTGGGCATACCTGTGTTAATCATATAATTTAATGCAACAGAGTTGGTTTCTAATTGGCTTTGATGAGCCTGGTGGTCAACCGGCCACGATACCAATATTCATTATTGTCATTGTAGTTTACATGAAATGGGATATGCGGGCTTGTGTAATGCAATTTATGTCAATCTTGTGTTGGTAAAATGAGATTTCTGCATTTATGGTACTTACTTGAAGAGAAGTAATTGTGGAAATATTCTAAGGAAATCAAACCCTAGAATTATATTGTTGATGGAAGTAAAGGTGAGACGCTGGATAGGAGGCTAGTTAAAAGCAGTTGGTGATGTAAAGCATGCAAAAAAAGGAGGGGCAAATTGGGAATTTCATATGTAGCATGCTTGAAACCTTGTGCAATCGGAGTTTAATTACATTTATATTATGTGTTTTTAAGTTAGTATGCTGCTGGTTAATTTTATTTATATTTCTTGTACTTTACAAGCCAAAGGTATTTCAGTAATTTAAAAATATTTCAAGACATGAGTATTACTCGTATATTGGTCATGCAATTGAATCTTTATATGTACTAGAGTATGCACTTGGTATGTGTTGAGACAATTTTTTATTTATTTAAATTTTCTGGTGTACATTATAAAGGTGTTAACATGGACACTTAATTCGTTTAGAAGCAAAATCTCAAGGAAGGAATATAGAAAGAGAGTTCTATGTACAAATATATAATATACATGAATTTAAATTGTTCATATCCAACAAAACATGTCAAACATGTGTCCTATATGCCCGTACCCAAGTGCCTTGTATTGGGCATGTGTAATTCATGCATTTAGAATAATTTATGTATATTCCTAGTAATAGGAGAAGTCCAACAGCCTTAAGATATATATGCTTTCTTTCAAATGTTTGAGTTCATCTTTAGAAAACCGAGTATTGTGTGGGGATAAAACCTAACTTTAAGGGATCCTTCTGTTGCTTTTAATTTTTGCAACAAGATTTGTTTTTGTATCATAAACTGTTAGAGAGTTGTGTTTTATGTAGTTTTCAATATTTGTTAGGGGTAACTTTGTCTTTAACTCGTTTAGTTAGGATTTACAAATAAACTTACTGGTATCAGAGCAGGGCCGAAATTCAAATCGATCTCAAGCCAAGAGACCTATTCTCGCATCGCATACTTGTATTGCATCTTTGTTTCCTGCTTCATGTCAGTTTGCGTCACAAACTTGTAAACCCTAATCGCATTTCACATCAGTTCTCTACTTCATCTCAGTTTGCAACAGTTTGATTTAATCTCAGTTTGCAACAGTTCACCTTCATCGCAGCATCTCGCAATCGCAAGAACTTGTAAACCCTAATCTCAGAGCGTCACAACCCATCTTCGTTCTTCTCTCTGTTCGATTTCACACCAACAATGCAATCTCTCTCTCTCTCAGTTCACATATACTAATTATGTATGGTAATTATTATGTAACATACACTAATTTATTATGTATATAGTAATTATTACTGACTAATTAGTAATTACTAACATACATATTTGTTATGCTTTACTGTACTCTATAATTAGATAATGAGAAGACAACCATTCCATTCGACTGATAGATCTAAAAGGGAATTGGTTGCAGTTGAAAGGAGGACTTCAGCAAGGTAAGGTACTAACTGCAAATGGTAAATGAAAATCAACCACTGCACAAACCAAAAATATTAAAAGAAATTCAAGACCCCCTTGAGATTTTGTGCACGGGTGCGCATTTATATATGTAAATATATAAATGGAGATTGAGAAGGAGAGAAGACTGACTAGGAGATCTGGAGATGACAAGATATAAAGCCCAAATGTTGAAGAACCCGCCATCCCAAAACTTTAAAAACTGTGTGCGCGTGTGTTGGTCTTCTTCAAGATAACCAAATATTCTAGAGATATGGATCATCTAATGGTTTTGTAACATTCATTGGCTTAACGCCCTTTACTTGGAACTTTGAATACATTATGTTCTCATCCTTCCTGTGCATTTTTTTATTTGTAACAAATATCTGTTTCTCCTCTTGAAAGAAAATAAAATGTTTTCTTAGGTCAGTCTTCTTGACAGGTTTATGACTTGTGCAAAACTAATATACAATATGCTGCCACAGGTCCTACGTGTCCTCATTACGATATTGGACACATCAAATAACCCAAGGGTACTAGCTGTTGCTTGTTTTGATCTCTCTCAGTTTATTCAGCACCATCCTGCTGGACGGGTCATAGTGACGGACCTGAAAGCCAAGGACCGGGTAATGGAACTGATGGACCACCAGGATGCTGAGGTTACCAAAAATGCCTTACTCTGTATCCAGAGGCTTTTCCTAGGTGCCAAGTATGCTAGCTTTTTGCAAGTTTAGTTATAATTTATGGAAGAGTTTTGCTACCAAATTTAATTTATAAAGACTTCTTGATGTGGAAGAACACAGAGTTTTTATATGATGCATCTTAATAACTTGAGTTATACATCACCTTGCGGCTTTCTTACATTCGTTATTTGTTGTGAATAACTGTGAGGAACTAATTGTTTTTATTATATTATAAAATAAAATTAATCTTTGTATACCTTGTGCATTTCCAGTTGTTTCTGAGTTCATCTGTTACTCAATGACAGCAATCTCACCAGGATATATATTTCTTGGGCCAGTCTACTTTGATTTCACACTCCTGTTGCATTGAAGGATGCACAATGCATGGGTTGCTCGTTTCTTATTTTCTTCCCACCAACATGCTCTAGTTTTACATATTGCGAATATGGATGTTTGGGGTATCGCAAATGTTAGTTGATTCGGTCAAGTGTCCGAAAAACTGCCATACTGGTTAGTGGTTAGTTCTGATACAACTGGACCATTAGTGCCATTGTCTAATATTGGTCTCTACATAGGAAGAGTGAAGGTTTCTTACCTTAGCATAAATTGATACAGGTGGTTTCGTCGCAATCTGTATGGAAGAAAGGTGATTATGCCCATTTTCGGTTTACTAGTTCAAAACACTGATTCAGGTTTGTAATTCAGGTAGCATGCTTGTAAGGAATTAAGTTCCTTTAACGGTCCATGTGGTAGGATGGAAAAAGTGTTTGGAGGAAGGGAAGAGGAGGGAATGAAACAATGGAATTTTATATTTTTTTCATTTTTTTCACCTCCCGAAAGTTCAAGCAAAGGCATGCAAATTTACAATATTTGCCCCTACGGGGGCTTAAACACTCAACCTTCCCTTGGAGAGAGATATCACACCATTTGGGTTAACGTCCATTGGTTGAAACTTGAAACGATAGATATTCCATTTAGTACGAAAATCTCGGTTTCAAGAGGGAGCAGTTCCTATCATCTTATAATTTTAGCTGGGATTAAATGCAAGAAGCCACTCCTAAGTCCTACGGTGTATATATTGTGAATATAACATATTGATTGTATGTATATATAACTACCTCATAGTTTATGAAAAGTTGCAATACAATACTTTCCCTCCACAAAACCATTGCAATGGTGCAGTTGAAATCATCAACTGAGCATTAGGTGACTCCCGTTTGTTGTAAAAATCTGCCCTGTTGTGTTTAGTGGATGTAACTTTCAAAAGTTGTGCGTCCCTGAAGAACTTGATCCTTTCAAGAAGGATTCAGGTAGTAAAACTGCAGACTAAAGTCTTTTATACCCTTCAATTTGAGCTCTAACTTGGCAAATATTTGCATTATCAAACCACATCTTGGGGTTATAAATGTCTTGCAGGAGGCCTGCAAGGTGCTCTTGGATGAATCATGACCATGAATTTTAAAAGCGCAAATCAGTATAAAAATAAAAATAAAAATAATAATAATAAAGAACAGTATTCATAAGTTAACATCTCTTCCAAAAGCTCCCTTTTCATCTTCAAAGTAGAATTGCCCTCCCGCCCTTTATTTAGTTTGTCAACCAAACACCAATCGATTCAGTCCTCTCTCACTCATCTACAACCCTAGTGTTATTTCTCTCTTACCAACTTGAGTCAAATTTTCATTATTTATCACCATACCTAGGAATTTTCCAATAAATTGAGAGTTCAAAACAATTTTTTTATTTTTGGTTTAGCAAACACAAACACACTTTACTTACTCCTGGGCTCGAACCTCCCCCTTCCTCTTTGATGATGGAGCAGTATAGCGGTTATACCATTGGACTAGAGACCCTTTGGTAAAAAAGATAAACTTTGATACTCAAAATTTAACCATGGAGAAATCTCCGTCAAGGACCGACTACATTTATCAATTTGGGAATAGAGAGAACTGAATTACTTTTTCAAGGGTCTGGTTACTGGAGACTATCATCTAAAATCAGTATGCATGTAAAATCACCGTATCACATTATAACTTGTACTGCATGCAAGATTTGAGGAAGGAAATAAATATTTCAAAATTTGGGTATTAAATGTCTTCACGAGTAAAATATGTTTATGCAAACGTGAAAGGTTCGGTCCTCTACAAGCTCCTCATATTTTGATTATACAGGGTGATCAATGTCAGTGAAAGATGCTTCAAGTTCAAATGCAGAATTCAACTCAATCTTCTTCAAGTTCGGCTCCAAACTTCTCCAATCTTTCAGCATCATCTTGCAAATCCCGCACCTTAGCATGGTTAACAATTCCATCATCCTCACTCGCGTGGATCTGCCTACCACCAAACCTAAATGGCATGCAGAAATCACAACCAGATAAGAGAAGAAAAAAAGGCGGTAAGAAAAAGCCAAAAGTATATCAGATCAATTAGATAAACTTAGGTTTGCAACACCCATTAGAAAATGTTGATCTGTTTTCAACACCCAAACTACCCAGAAATGACTTCTCATCTCAATCAACCCTCAAATACTAACTACTCAGGAAGTCAGGATTAGTTGTCATTGAAACACCTATATGGGAATATTCCCTATTAAAATATAAGTTTTCGTCAAAACAAAAAGAAACCCAAATTTTAAAAAATAAAATAAAATAAAAATAATAATAAAGAAAAAGAAGAAAAGGAAACCCAAAAAAACTAGAATTTCCTAGGATTACAAAAGCGCCTGCAACTTCAGTAACATAATAATCAGAAGAAATCCTAAGATTATATTGAAGTTGCCAGAAGTTCTAAATGTATTACAAAAGGCAATAAGTAAGATCCATGTTCATCCTTTCTGAAATGCAATCAGCAAAAATTTAAAATATTTTCCTCCTTGGAGATCGATCTGAAGTTAGTTGTAATGTTGTAACGACCGATGGTTACTTGGGAAACCAAAAGACTGAACAAACACAACTTAGTACATGCGACAATGTCCACGAGGAAGCATAACCACCGCTATTCCAAAGTAAGGACTCTGGAAACAGTATCACACCTCATAATTTCTTGACACAACTTAAAAAATGCAGATGCATTCACAAGGCCAACTAACATAGGTAGATGTTGTAATGACCGATGGTTACTTGGGAAACCAGTGAGAGCACATGCAGGTAAGCCGGACATCATTCAGAATTTCTTAAGTTGTAATGTTGTAATGACCGATGGTTACTCGGGAAACCAAAAGAGTGAACGAACACAACTTAGTACATGCGACCATGCCCACGAGGAAACATAACCACCACTATTCCAAAGTAAGGACTCTGGAAACAGTATCACGCCTCATAATTTCTCGACACAACTTAAAAAATGCAGATGCATTCACAAGGCCAACTAACATAGGTAGATGGTCAACTCGTGTAAATGTCGATGTAGTTCTAAAGTATGATATATTGTTGTTTTTAGGCCAATGGTAAGAACTGACCCCCTAACTCCAATCCTATCAGGTGTCATGACAACACTTCGTGCTACGACAGCTTGATGATTTGATGTTTGAAGTCCAACAAATTCTGAATTAGTCATTATGATAGCTCTGTCCTCTCTCAAATTAAAGAATTTATTACAAAAACCTCAAGGATCAGCACAATTACCATCGTCCATTCATCATATCTATGCACTTCTGGGCATCTCTTCTATCCTTAAATCTTACCAAAACAACACCCTGAGGATGATTCTCACAAACCTGCAAACAGAACCACATCTGAACATAAGAAATAGCCATTTAAACATATAATGCTCGTAAAAGCCTTAATTTACATGAAATAAATAAATTCCCAGAAAAGGAAAATCAGTCATGAAATCTAAACATTCATCATATAGCATAAAGATAAACCTAAATGAACATTAAATACTTGAGATAGAAGAGTAAATAATGAAAAAGAAGCCATTGCATCTGATAACATCAATATCAAACCAGTAATATCAAAAGATGTAAATTTACACGAGACTCTGAAAGAAAGGAAACACAGAGGCCTATAAATTAAAAAATAGCGTGAAGACAGATAAGAGTCATTACCTAGTGTGATCCCCATTAAACGAGGGTGCTAGGAGCGGTAACAATTATTACTTTCTTTTCGGTTGATAGGACATAAGCAAGACTGGAGTTTTAACTTTTGTTTTAATTTCTAGCTTAGGTTAGAAGTTTCCAAAAGTTAGTAAGTATTAGTTGTTACCTCCCAAGGTCGAAGAAGGAAATTGCAAGCTACACGCAAGGGTAAGTATGTAATCTTCGTTTAGAAGGGTATAAAGGTAAATTAAAACAGTGAAACACTCACCAAATTAAGATTCATGCATGCATATTTAGGTCTTAAGTTTTCATGACATTGATCTTATTTGATTCCTTAAATTCTTCTAAACATGCATCATAAGTGTTTTTAGGATGTTCAGGATGTTCGTATTTGCATTTTTTTTCCAAGTTTACACTGCAACAAACTTCGATCAATCAAGGGCTTCCAGAGTATCGTCGATCATTGACGGTAATTTCAATTGATCTAGCTAGTCAAAAAATTAGTTTCCAAGTTGTTTTAAACTCTACCTACCATATTCTCTGTACTTCTATGTTGTCTATATGTATATAAATAAATATATATATATATATATATATATATATATATATATATATATATATGGTACTACGACAGAATAAGAGATGTAGAAATATATGAGCTTATTTGTGAGCTATAGAGTGCATCTTTATTTTTTTTTTTCATTCATCATTCTAGTATTTGTGAGTGTAGTTCATGTGTCGACAAGTGTTACTGCGTACTTCAACAAGAGTTCAACATTACAATTCAATCCATCTCCATAAATTGAAGCCTGGACAACTAGTGACGGAGACCAAAATCACTAGAGAAGCAAATTCATTAAGGAGCGGATACCGTTGACGAGCATACGGATGATTGGAGACTTTTGGAAGAAGGTTTGGAGTTGTCTGTGTCACGAGCTAAATAGGGAATTCTTGGGGTAGAATCTGTTAATTTAGGTTGTTCTCTCTTTCTCACATATCGGATTTTGGTTCCTGTTACTCCCATAGTTTTTCCCCTTGTTCCAAGTAAAAATCTGTGTCCATTGTTTTAAGTTTTATCTGCTTATGACTCACATGAGTTGACAGATTTTTATTATCCGCTATGAATTGATTTGAATTTCTGTTTTTTTTTTTTTTAATTACAAAAAATTGTTAAAATCAATTTTTATTGTTATTATTTTTTAATCCTAGAAGACCTATTCACCCCCTCTAGGTCTAGATCATGGACCTTGCGCAACTCAATGTCAAAGCCCCGGAACCAGGTCCTTATCATCACTTTCACCAAAAAAAAAGAGGAGAGAGAATTGAGAAAACTTAATTGTACAGAAAGAAGTAAACATACCTTGACTGATTCAACAGGACCAAGTTTTACACATTCCTCTTGGACATCTGCTTCTAATTCAGAACGTAGATTCTCATCAGACTGCAAACATTAAAAGAATGTCAGCTTAAAATGCTATGTTGTTAGCAGTCCCTGATTAAACCAAAACAATGTAGTAAAGAGAGACTTGGAAGATTATAATCATCACAAGAAAAGAAATGGAAAAAAATAGTAATACGGTGCTTCTAGTTATATTAAAATAATTGATATTTAAAATAGAAGAACTCTATTATTGAACAAAAGTAAATTAAATTATTAAATATAGAGAATATTGTCCATTAAAATAATAAATAAAATAAAGTAGCTGGTTCGATTCAAATTTGTATATCCCAACATAACGTCACATGTTGTTTATCATTGTTAGTGATGGTTTAAACCATTGTAAAAGTCATGTACGAAAAAATCCACAATCTATTTAAAATTTAAATAATGGAAACAATAATAATAAACCCAGCTATACAAGTTTTTTTATAGATTATACAGCTTTTACACATTACTCCATTTTTTTCTCTTTTTTTTTTTTTGTACCCTTTTTCTTTATTAGTTAGGAGGGAGAGGGTTGAGCTGGTTTAGAAGCATTACCCTCATTTCTGCAGGAGCGAACATATATCGAAGAATAACAGTGGCAGGAATTGAAAGCTTTGCATCATCACGACCACCTGCAACATTAAAGAAAAGGTTATATCAAGGGGTTAATCTCATCACAAGTACTAGATGAAAGTTCAATACGAGTAAACTCTCATAAAAAAGAAAGGATATAAAGAAATATCATCAAATTATGTAGATTATAGAAAAGCACAACTAGTTGGAATTTGCTACCATTTGTCCCTCACTTCGTCACATGTCTTCCAAACGGAAGTCTACATGGCACTCTCCGTCCCACCACATGACATCACTATAACAATCCGCATGTTACTTTGCCAACTCGCTCTGTGATGCACTACAGAGAAATGATTCTCCATCTCCAGTTGATATGTAACCATATCTCTATAAAACATGATGTCCCCTTAAAATTGTTAAACATGTTGTATCTCTATAAGGTTGGCGAACGTGTTTCTTAGATCTCAGACTTCAACAAGTGGACCAAAGCAAAGTTTATCCAAGCAATGCTAGGCAAGACTATGTCTCCCACTGCACAATCTTGGGCTGCGCAGATGACAATTTCCAGATGGGTTCACTGTTCAATCTCCCCAACCTCATAGTGTAACCTCTCCATTCCAATCAGATTACGCAATCTCTGTCAGCTCAGTAAATTTTCTACAAAACAGATCTCCATCACTTGCTCTCCCCATTGAAAAGCTGTCTCCACGCGGGCACTCAACATATCTAATTTTTTTTTTTGATAAGAAAAATATATTAGAAAAGCGTTCAAAAGGGGAACGTGTCCCTAATACACAAAACGCACGGGCACTCAACATATCTAATACCTGACTCTTTTAGAAGAAGAGCCACAGAGCTTGTCAAGCTCAGTATGTGGCCATGGTCTACTTGGACTTCGGATCATGTGGTTTTTTGAAGTTTGATGGCTTAAATCAATGGTTCGTTAATTATTTCTGTAGTCTACACCTCTGTAGTGGTTACATTGATTATTTTCGCCATCAAGACATAAAACTGGTTCAAACGAATCTTTAACAGCCTTATTAGGATAGAAGTACCCCGCCCATTCTGTTAACTACTGCCAATGTCTCTCCTATCCTAAGACCACCTCAGTTTCACCATAACCTATCCACCGGAATTTCCATCACCTTACACATAATACATCCATCAAGACATCAGAAACCAACTACCCAAACCTAGGAAAAAAATGCCCCAAGAAAAAGGGTTAAGTAGTTTGATTCACTGAACCTTTTCCAGAATATACTTGTAATATTACGCCCTCAAATTCAATCAGTGTACATGTTTAATGATAACAAAATGATTACTGAGTCCTTGACAATAAATATGTAAATCATGCACTAGATGGGAATAAATGCCTGCAATCCCCAAATTCACTGTTTATTTATCCAAGTTAAAAAGTCCAACAACAATAAAACTAGTTGGCTGATACAAAACAAAAAGAGGACATGTAGCACATGAAAATAAGTGAAAATATAAGAGCCATCTTATTTTTAAAAAATAAATAAATAAGTGAAAATATAATTTTCCATCCCCAAATTTGATGCTATCATTTAAGTGGCATCTTATTTGTAAAAGAAAGCCAGTGTCATAATTGTTTCACCAACCAAAATTTTGGGATCAAAATAACTGATGGTATTGAAATTGCTATTTCTTGACAGAGTTGCCATAAGAAACAACTATGACCTTTTCATTTGACATTCTAAACATGTATAATTGACAAATCACAATATTATATATAAGTATATATATTGATACGTTAGAATCACCATGGTAAATGATAATCAACTGAATTCTAATATTTCCTTCAAGAATCTCAATGAATTACCATCATATAGTAAGCTGATAAAGACACAGAAAAAGAAACCATTTCTTTTTTCTAATTCTTTTTCTTTTTGGAAGGCAAGTGACTCACTCATCCCCACTAGTGGCCCCAAGTTCAACCTTCCATTAAGTGGCTGCACACATTTCTATTACTTTTTATAGTATAATTCACATTGAAGACCTATATACAAGAAATTTAACAAAATGATGAAATAAAATAAATCATATATTTTTGGTTCTTTCATTTTTAAAGAAAAGAAGTTACATTTTACTCATCAATTATAATTTAATTTGAGGATGAAATACATATAATTAATAAACCTCATTTTTGGTAATGATCACATGCATTGCACATGTATTAGGAGCGGGTATGTATCTAAGAGATGAATTTATTAGATCCCAAACACAAAGATATAGAAAAATGGAATTTTTATGTAACTGTCTGACATGGGTACTTCATGCATTTAGAAGGGTCAATATAATATAAGCAATGCCATTATTTTCTCCTAATCAATTGATCTACAATGTTTAACCTGAAAAATTAGGTAAAGCATAATAAACTGTACCTTTGGGGTGAGAAGTAAAGATTCTATTAGATTGAAAGAAAATCCTACACATTTATAAGGAGATATGGTTGAAGGAACGATTTGAAACTTTCTTTCTTTAAAGATATTATGCAGATCATAGTAAAACCAACCTAACAAGATTACCTCAAAAGGAAGAAAAGACAAATACACGGATATGATAGTCACAATACACTAATAGAGCGTTCCTAATACAACAAATTATTGAATGTCTAACCTCAACATTTTTAAGAGGAAAATTTAGGGGGAAAAAACACATAACAGAGCAATCTCTAATGAGGTCTCCAATTACAGCTTCTGTGCCACCCAAATTCCCTACTGAAAGGACTGGGACATGGGGCTGACAAATGTGACCCAATCAGATCCATGATTTTTCACCTCACATATTTTCTCAACAAATTATAGAGAGAGAGAGAGAAGGAAGCTTCTCTTAAAGAACACCTGCTCTGCTGCCCATCAAGAACTATAAATGTGAAACATGATCAATGATACACAGCAACTATTCCAAATACTTCTCCTTGTATAATATACCAAAAATAAATAAAAATAGCAAAATATAAAAAAAATCAAATTACACATTCAATGCATCAACCTTGTGGACTTCTCCATTCTGAGGAAAGATCCGTTACATATTGCAAAAACACCAAAGAAATCTAACAAGAAAATATACCAGCAAACATTATGAACTTCACATCCATGTGGGCAAAAAACACGCACAGACACATTTTAAATTTCATTATTGTTATTATTTTCATTATTATTATAAGTAATATTCATTAAAGAAAGCGCTCAAAAGGGGAGTGCGTCCCATATACAAAGACCAAAAGACCCACTATACCTTTAAGCTATCCACAAAATCAACGAGATCTCCCAAGGATTTACAATTATAACCATTAACCACAAAAAATAACGATCTAAGAATATAGAATTTAATCAACCAAATAGGAGCCTCCACTCCATTGAAGCATCTTCTATTTCTTTCCATCACCTAACAATATTAAAATAATTGATGTGTCTTATCTGCCAAGAGGCCTAAAATAAATGCTCACCCCATTTTCAGAAACTATAAGAGTAAGTTTTACAAGCCATAGAAAAAAACCAACATGTAAGGCTGAAACCCCCAACAAACAATAATAGCGAAAAGCTACAAAGACTGGCTGCAGCAGAAATATCATTCCCACATCCAGCAAGAAGACTAGAGGTAAGCTTAAGAAATAGAAATAGAAATAGAAATAAAAATAGAGTTACAAATTATCATTGCACTTTGTTTTGAATTGTGGAAAAAATTAGAAATTAGCCTAATTAAATTTGAATCAGTTGCAGTCTAAAAAGGTGAAATTCCTATATCACATTAGATTTGGAAATTTAAATGTAAAATAAAAACCTACCCCAACCAAGCATCTTCTGTTCGACCTTCTGAAGTTTCCTTTTCTTTCTCTTGTCTGTTTGTTTGGATATAAATTTCTCCCCTGTAAAGCACAGAGGAAGCTCTTAATACAATATAGAAAAGTTATTGAAAAAGTTTAAAAGAATCTTTTATCCAGCAGAACAAAATGAGGGTTCCATATCCTGTATGGTAAATGAACAAGATGAAAACTCTTTTTTTTTCTTTTTTCTTTTTTCTGACAAGTGAACAAGATGAAATTCTTATCCTTTCAATATGACATAATCAGTGTACCATGGCCCTCAAATATTACCTTTCTGCTCAAACTTTGCTTGGGTAACTGACATAGGAATCTTGCCCCCAGGCCGTAGAGGTGCTCCATCCAAAAGTTGGAGGGCTAGAGCAACTGAAGGTTCCTAATGCACAGGAAGAGATGATGGAAAGCCAAGAGTAAGGATCTGACACTGTTAAATTTCAGATTCAGCAGAGATTCGATAAAAACATTACCTTCAGAAATGAAACAAGCGCATCACCCTTTTTTCTTCCAGTCTCTTTGTCAACATATATCTTCACACGAGGCTTTTTTGTTTCAGGGTCCTAAAAGTTTCAATGATACGAATTCTATGTATTAGAACATGGTGCTCAGACACCAATTATGCTTTTTCAACAATGTAAAGCAGTTACAAATAAAAAGAAACCAAAGGTGAATCCTACAGCACGAATCTGGTAGATAAGCAACCTACCATCCCAAGTTGAAAGAACCAAACCCAAGCAATACCCTTCTCTACAAATCTACTAACAGCCACACTATACAAGACCTCAATTAGTGTTGGAAGAGTTTGGCTGCAAATTTGTGCCAAACTAGTCTGAGTTATAATTAGAGCTTGCAATGCCAGTCTAAACTTTCCAAAAATTGATTTGCGAAATGGGTATCATCAGATTCAGATTTAGACCGGGTAACGAATGGAATACAGCCTTCAAGACAAAGGAGGGACTGTATGAGTGGTTGGTTATGCCATTCGGCTTATCCAATGCACCGAGCTGTTTCATGGGAATGAACCAGGTCCTGAAACCGTTCATTGGCAGATTCGTGGTGGTGTACTTCAATGATATTTTGGTGTACAGTCACAATGAAGCAGAACACATGGAGCATCTACAAGAGGTCTTACAGACCTTGCATCCTAGCAAGTTATATATCAACCTAAAAAAGTGTTGCTTTATGACAGACATATTGCTATTTTTGGGATTTATTGTCGGAGCTGATGGCATTCGGGTTGATGAAGAAAAGGTTCGTGCTATCCGAGAATAGCCTGCACCAGAGACTGTGAGTCATGTTTGCAGTGCTCACGGATTGGCAACATTTTACGGCAGATTTATCCGAAATTTCAGTAACATTGTGGCTCCAATCACTGAGTGCATGAAGGGGGGAAAATTCCAGTAGGGTCATAATCAGGAAGTAGCGTTTGTAATGATTAAAGAGAAGTTGTACACTTCCCCAATTCTAGCATTGCCAAGTTTCAAGAAGGTTTTTGAGGTGGAGTGTGATGCTTCTATCATGGGCATAGGTGGTGTTCTCTTTCAAGAAGGTAGACCAGTTGAGTATTTAGTGAAAAACTCTGTGAGGCGAGACAGAAGTGGACTACATATGAATTGGAGTTCTATGCGGTCATCCGAGCTCTGAAACACTAGGAGCATTATTTGATTCAGAGGGAATTTGTGTTGTACAGTGATCACCAGGCAATGAAATTTACGAGGAAGAGGTTGAACAGTATGCCTGCCGGGTGAATTTCTTTTCTTCATAAATTTACCTTTGCATTGAAGCATAAATCGGGGCAACTTGGGCCAAGGGCAGTTCACAACGACCTGCTGTTGAGTTTCATATTCAGGACGGTTATCTGTTTCGTGGCAATTAGCTCTATATTCCAAAAACATCGTTGCGAGAACTGTGTAGTAGTGGTTTGGGTTGACACTTAGGCCGAGATAAGATGATTGCACTAACTGAGAAGCATTACCAGTGGCCACAGTTGAAACGTGATGTTGGCAGGTTTGTGCAGAAGTGTCCAGTATGCCAGACAGCCAAGGCTCAGGTGCAAAATACTGGGTTATATACTCCGCTGCCCATACCAGAAAATATTTGGGAGGATTTGACCATGAATTTTGTGTTAGGACTTCCACGAACACAGAGAGGTATGGATTCTATTTTTGTGGTTGTTGATAGGTTCTTATACCATGCCGGAAGACCTCGGATGGATCCCACATTACTAATTTGTTTTTCCGAGATATTGTTCACTTGAAAGGAGTTCCAAAGTCCATTACTTCAGATCGTGATGTCAAATTTCTCGGTCATTTTTGGAGGACCTTGTGGAAGAAATTTGATACTTCTTTGAAGACCGATGGCCAAACAGAAGTGGTAAATAGAACATTGGGAAATATGATTCGCTGTGTGTCAAGTGATAAACCAAAGCAGTGGGATTCAACTCTTCCACTGATCGAATTTGCTTTCAGCATGTATAATCTATCCTCTGGAAAACGCCATTTGAGATTGTCTATACTAAAGCCCGGAGGCATGCCTTAGATTTGGTTTCACTGCCCAAAATTCCAGGATTGAATATTGCAGCAGAGAATATGGCTGAAGGAATCCAGACTATTCAAGCTGAAGTCAAGAAGAAGTTGGAGCAGTCCAATGTCAAATATAAAGCTGCAACTGACAAACAAAGGCGAGCGAAAGTATTCCAGGAAGGTGACCTTGTGATGGTACACTTGCGTAAAACTAGATTTCCTATTGGGACTTATAGCAAGTTGACAAACAGAAAGTATGGGCCACTTCGCATTAAGCGAAAGATTAATGATAATGCTTATGCGGTGGAGCTTCCTGAGAACATAACAATCTCTAATACCTTCAATGTGGTGGACTTATTCGAGTATCATCCACCAGATGAATAACTTTATCCGCAATCAAACTCGAGGACAAATTTTTCTGAAGTGGAGGGGTCTGACGCAGGACATCCATGATTTAATATATATAATATATAGTGTGTGTGTGTGTGTATATATATATGTATATGTAAACATAAAGGTGCAAGTTGCATTCTTTTACTTAGTGAGCAAGGAGATGACATGTGAGAGCATCATTATGAAAGTGAGTGCAAGTTGCATTCTTTTACTTAGTGAGCAAGGAGGTGATATATGAGAGCATCATTATGAAAGTAAGTGCAAGTTCCATTCTTGTACTTAGCGAGTAAGGTGACATGTGAGAAAGTGGGGTCCGCATCATTATGAAAGTGAATGCAAGTTGCATTTCGTTACTTGGTGAGCAAGTTCAGATTAGGCTATAAATAACGCTCACCTTTGTATTGTTGAGGCAGCTTGAATGAAATTAACAATATATCAGTTTTATAATCTGTTTGAGCTTTTGCTCTGTGTGAGATATTTATCTCTTTTCCCGCTTCCGCTACGTCAAGAAAACATACAAATGAGGATGTAGTGAAGATTGGAATCAAATGAGGATGTAGTGAAGATTGGAATCAAGATGTACAAAAAAGTGAACACTTTTGTTATTTAGGCTCAATTATTCTATTCAAAATGAAAGAAAAATTGGAGATGATGTCATAGAATCAAGGCATACGTTAAATAGTGTTAAGATTGAAAGGGAATTATGTAGAACAACCATCAAACCAGTTGTACTATATGGAACAGAATGCATATGGGGTGTGGGGCAAAAATGCGAATTTTGAGATCGATGTGTGGTAAGACTAGAAATGATCACATTTGTGAAATGGTTGGAGTAACACCAATTGGAAATAAAATGAAAGAATCGGTTAAGATGGTTTGGAGCACGAAAGACCTTTTAAGTCCGCCAGTTAGGAAGAGTGACATAATCCACATTGAGGATAATACTAAGGGAAGAGGAACACCAAAGTTAACACGAGTAGAGTTAGTAAGGAAGGATTTGATAACATATGGTTTGACTGAGGCTACGGCCTTGGATAGAGCGGAATGGAAAAATAAGATCATGTAGCCATCCCAAGCAGTTGGGAAAAAGGCTTTGTTGGTGGTGTTTGTCATACAAATAAAAATAAAACATGCATGCATATACACCACCATACAACACTTCATGTTTGTCCACCAACACCCCCACCCACTCAATTATAAAACAAATTGCAGTTATGTTATCAGCTATTATTACAAGAAAAATTGAAAACATGGAACTGAAAATTCAGTGCTAAACTAGTACTACCAAAAGATTTTAGCAACTAAAGTTTTTAAACTAAAAGTTTGTGGGCAAATTTGTTTATTTAAATCAAAATTAAAAATACCCTTCACCTGAGCATATTTAGCATTCAATAGAAGCATTGCCACGTCTCTTTGATTTAAGGTTCAAATACTGTGAAGGGGAACTAACTTTTATGCACTAACTATGTGTTATTCATGGTTATCAAAATCGCGACCCGCAATGTAGGATCACACGATCCTACCAGACTTATCAAATAGATCCAAATCATATGAAAATTTCAAAGAAATAGAATCATGTTAGGATCACCATATTCAGGATTGTTCAGGTATACAAAAGATATGGTAATCTGTTTATTTCTTATGCTCGAATATATTTGTAAACTGCACTGATTTTAAGACACTGGTTATTGGTTAAAAACGTTGGTTGTTGAGGATTATGTAATTTGCATTTGGTAGATTTTAAAGGATGTTCATAGTTTGTTTCGTAAAAAATCAAATTTGCTATTATAGAACATGCATTTTCATGATGAAAAATGGGAATAGAAAGATTTGAACATTGATCTTCCTGTGTGCAACCAACCTTGTAAATTGCATGGCATTAGGGTTCTACATTTTGAGCTACATTATCAAATTTACTTGTGCGAATTGGTAAATAATGCATGTTCCATATATTTTTTATATATATTGTTGAAGATTTAATAGAGGAATCAGTGGAGAAAAATCTTTCAGTAATTGATGTTGTTTCCTATAATTGAAGATTTGGTGTTACTTGAGGAATCAGTGAAGAAAAATCCTCCTTGTTTTCTATTTTGTAATTCTTTCCATTCTCATAATTTCTTCTCTTATATAAAGGAGACTCCACCATTGTATTGTGTATGAGTTGAGAGAGCATTATAAAAGTGATGTAGCCCTTTGGGCTCTTTGTGCCGTGGATTTGGGCCCTAGTGGCTGAACCACGTAATATATGCGTTCTTCTTGTTTCATTTCTCTTTCACTTCTATTTCATTATTTACAACATGTATAAGTAATGCATCTTCCATGTGTTTGTAATAATATTTCTGCCATCTTATGTGTTTTAAGCTTGTTCTCTATCTAGTTTACTATTTCTTTACTTATACATATAGTTTAGTATTTTCACTAATCTTGTAGGATCTTATGATCATCAATTTAATCTTAACCCCCTAGTTGATCCAACATGGAATCCCAATACTAACAACCTTGGTGTTATTGAATGCACATGAAGGATGAACCACTGAAGTTTTCGATTTTAACCACTCAATAGAATTATCAAAAGAACCCATTAGGACCTGCTAATTACTAGTTAAACATATAACGTACTATTTAGATTATTAACTATTGTCATCATCTAGAAAATCTACCAATCTTTCATGCTGGTGCCAGTGACCAACATATATGTGAGAATGCTTCAGTTTGTTCAACTGTTCTGTAAGCTTCCTATACAAATCTTTCAGACTCTTCAATTTAAATTAGGTTCCACTAATCCCTGCATCACTGCGGTCCAGTTATCATCTTTTCTAACGAAGTATTTAAAGTAAATAACTCATGAACATGTGCATCATGTATTTAGTAGATGGGAAAAAGTGAAGAATGAGATAAAACCTAGTAGTAGGTAATTCTTTCATTATCATGATCCATATTATTATTAACATTATTATTAAGGCGCAATCCCTTCCTGAGCAACCCACTCATTCTTGCAGTTGTTAAAGCCCTTCAACTATTAACCCGAGTCTTGCAGTTCTATTTAAAGGAAAAGCCACATAAATGGATATATATAATAATAATAATAATATGGCTTGCCACAATATCCATGACTAGTAAACTGACACATCAATGCTTGCACATCTTTTTGGAACAAAATAAAATCAATATGATTGTGTGTGTTCTGGAAAAATGGATTACTTCATTTGAATAAATATATGTGCTGAGTGCAAGCTCTCAACGCAGTACAGTAAACCAGGGAGCTTTATTCATTATTTTAATGCCAGCAGATTATCGCTATGCAAAATAGAAAAAATAAATAAGAAAGAAAAAGAGAAGGGAAAAACTATTTACTTTCCAAAGAAAATACCCCAAAATAAAAAATAAAAAAAATAAATAAAGAGTTATTACTCACCTCCTTTATTATCCCACACTTAGAAAATACTTCCACAACCTGCAAGATTTCCCATATTAGTGACATACCATCATAACACAAGAAATTATTAATGGAGCGGCTGAAGAGAGAATTTGATTCTCATTAATTTGACTAGTAAGAATATATGTCAAATATAGACACACTATAACTACAATCATCTGTGACAACCACAGAAGATAACTCGTTGAAGATATAGATTTGAAAGTAACAATGACTATAGCTTACCTCATCAAAAGTAACGTCATCTGGCAACCCAGTCACGTAAACATGGGTATTGACTTTTAATTCAAACCAGCTATCTGGAGGTTTGTTAGCTTCCTGTAAATTTATAGAAAATAAGAAACATATGATAAAAAAACAAAAAAAAAAGGACATCATTTGTGAATTTAGAAATGTGCATCTTCAACATACTCCAGAAACAAAATGAATGTGCAAAGGAAAATTAAGTTGCAAGATGATGATGATGATGATGATGATGATATAAAGCACTACAAGAGGCATCGTACTGGCTGAATTTAAAAGAAATGAGGTACACAAGCAGAGTCTAAATCTAAAATAACTGAGAATTAGAAAAAGGAACAAGAAGAGAGAGAAGAAAAAAAAAAAAAAAACCTTCTTCTCAGCGGGCTTGTCAGGCGACTTTCTCTTAGCATTATGTTTTGCTTCGCCTTCCATTACTTCACTGGTATCTGTGACCTGTTCCTTTACAGCGGTATCAACAGCATTCACTGCTGGAAAGAGTTCCTGTTCTTCTAAGAAAGTCATCTCTTCTAACCCATATTGCTCAGTTTCTGTAGATGTGTTGTCCTGTAACATATCTAATTAGTAAAAAACTACTACATTCAAATCATACCCGATTGCCCCTTGTGTCTATAATGAAATGGAACTTAAAAAATAAAAATAAAAATACAGAATATTCCTAAGATGAAAAAGCATTAAAAATAAAAGAGGATGCTAATGTTGAAAAATAATTTTGGAAATCTAAAATGAATGGGTGCTAACCTCTAATTTTTTCTAAAAGGAATACATAACAGTGGGGTTTATAGCTTTAGCTGCATTGAAGCATTAAAAATAAAAGAGGATGCTAATGATGAAAAATAATTTTGCAAATCCAAAATGAATGGATGCTAACCTCTAATTTTTTCTAAAAGGAATACATAACAGTGGGGTTTATAGCTTTAGCTGCATTGTGCTCGATCAAGTGATTAAATTGTATATTTTATGGTACATATATGAAAACAACCTAACTGTGCTTCAAATAAAGCTGAAATAATTTATCTTGTGTTCCCTAAAAAAAAGATAGAAGATTCCATACTGAGGCAAGTACCAATTTCTAAAGATACGTAGGACCCGAAAACTTAAATGATAAACTAATCCAAGCACCCACCTGAGGAACCCACGCTCTAAGACCCCGATCCCACTTGTAAGTAGTTCCATCATCATCAGTGAATTCTTCCTCACCCTCTGGTGGTGTCGAAGGCCTTTCATGATCTTCATCGCTATTTACAGACTCATGTTTCAACACCTCTGCTTCTGCCTCTCTCACCTCTTTCTGCCATTTTTCGAACTCGTCATCAATGTTGGAGGGCACTGCAGAATTCACTTAACAATGAGACCTCTAATTCAAAATATAAACTAGAAACATATGTATCAGCACCTGAAGTCATATTAATTAGTACCCTGCTGAGAGACTTCAGTCATCAAGCCAAAAATTGAGGATAATGGTTGCCAATCGCTTCTTCCTTCAGACCATACAAGTGCACTTTCAGCGAGGTATCCATTTGTATAATGCTCTGTCCAGGTGAAGCAAATAAGCTTAAGTAGATGGTTCAATAGCTCGTAAGACCATTTGAACATGATACAAATGGAATAATTGTCCCACAACCGTGTTTATTGGTTACCGGTGGAACTGAAATTCAAGAAGGAGAAAAACAAAGGGATCTTAAGAATTTAAGGAACTATAAATTATACTTCTAAGAAAATATATATATGAATTGCAAGAAGATAAAGGGAAGGCACCCTTCTCCCAGTATACATTTATTCAACACAATAATTCAAGGCATTTTAGCCTGTTCCAAAACCATGCAACTTCTTGCAACAATTACTAAATCAATGCAAGACTCACCATTCAACTCAGAAAAAGCATAGGGGCCAATATGCTGTTGGTCTTCACCAAGAACATACCATCCAACTTCAGTACTTGTTTCAGAATTCCGATCAAAGCCGTTTTCTGCAATAAATCCAGAAACAACATCCCATTTTACTTGTTCTTCTTATATCATTACGCATACAGTACAACCACATAATATTTCAGTGTATACACGTGTAAATGCACAAAAACACACACACATATATGTTATCTTATTAAATGAATAACAGATTTAATGTCTTCTCGTTAGAAGGAAGCATAGTATTCTGAGAGCTCTGGATTTCAAAGAGGGAGCACTTCCAGTCACTTACGTGGGATTGCCTCTGATTGATAGCAGATTGAAAAATTCATTGTACTGGTTTATTAGAAAAGGTCAATGCCAAATTCTCAGCATGGAATTCCTTTAACTTATATATGGCAGGTAGAGTGGAGCTCATAAAATCAGTTATTTCCTATTACTATTACTCATGGGCTACAGTTTTCTAAATTCCTGTTGGTGTTCAAGAAGAGATTGAAAGGAGGGTGAGAAATTTCTTATGGAGTGGGAAACATGACAATCAGAAAATCCTCTTCTGGCATGGGACAAGACAACAGTTCCTAGAGCAGACGGTGGTCTGGGCTTGAGAAGCTTCAGCAGCATCAACAAGACATGTACTACCTTATTGACATGGTAATTTATTGCTTCAAAGGAAGACCTCTGGGTTAAATGGTTCAGGGACAAGTACATGAGAAATGTTTATTTCTGGACCATGAATCCTAGGGATACTGATTCAGTCTTATGGAAAGCCATACTGAATAACAAAGAATTTCTGCTTCAACATTTTTTTATTTTTTTATTTTTTTTTTTTTTTTTTGATAAGTAAAAATTTTATAAAAAAACGCTTAGAAGGGGAGCGAAACCCATGCAAATACAAAAGACCACAAAGGCCTCAAGCCTTCAAAGAGGCTAAAAAATCAACTACTTCCTCCAAAGAACAATGATCTCTTCCTAAAACCCAACAAAACAAAGTAGAAATAATCAAGAATTTAAGCACCGAAATCGACAAAGCCTTTCCTTCAAAGAATCTCCTATTCCTTTCAAGCCATAAACACCACCACACACAAAGCGGCGTAGCCCTCCACGCGTCCTGACTGAGAGCCCCCACAGGGCAACCTCTCCACGCCTCAATCAATCCTCTAGCAGATCCAGGCATAACCCAAGAAACACCAAATAAGCCAAGCATCAAAACCCAACACTCTCTAGCCAAAGGGCAATGAATAAGAAGGTGATTCATAGACTCCTCATCACCTAAGAAGCACGGACACTCCAAAATGGACGAAGAATCCGTGTCCGACACGTGTCGGACACGGACACGAGTCGGACACGCCCCGACACGTGTCTGACACGCCAAAAAACGTGTTTGGAATTTTTTTATTTTTTTTTATTTTCGGACACGGCTTGGACACGGCTTGGACACGGCTCGGACACGGCTTGGACACGGCACAGACACGACTCAGACAGCTCGGACACGGCTCGGACAGCTCGGACACGGCTCGGACACACTTTTCTGGATTTTTTTTTTTAATTTTTAATGCTGATATGTTAATTTTTTTTTTTTTTTTTTTTTTAATTTTTAATGCTGATATGTTCTATTTTTTGTTTTGTACTACCCTAAAGATGGTGATATATATATATACTAACCTAAAGATGCCACAATTCGCCGTGTCCGTGTCCTAAAGATGCTGATATATATATATACTAACATATCAGTGATATATATATATATTCCAACCTAAACATATCAGTGTTTTTTTTTTAAATTATTAATGCTGATATATATATATATATATATATATATATATATATATATATATACTATTTGCCGTGTCCGTGTCCTAATTTTTTTGGATTTGCCGTGTCCCTGTGTCCGTTTCGTGTCGTATCCGTGTCCCGTATCCGTGTCCGTGCTTCTTAGCTCATCACTAAGACACATAGAGCAACGGTTGACCACCACCTGGCTTCTCCTTCTCAGATTATCCTGGGTTAAAATCCGACCCAGGACCGAAGTCCACACAAAGAAAGCCACCTTAAGAGGAGCCTTGGATTGCCAAACAGACTTCCAAGGGAAACGAACTCCAAGAACAAAAGAGAGGCACTTGAAGAAAGACCTCACCTCAAAGCGCCCCTGAGAGTTTGCAATCCAAGACCAACAGTCTGAATCCTCCTCCACAATCCTCTGGTGATATAACAACTCCAAGAAACAAATGACCTCCTCGATCTCCCAATCCTGAAAGGAACACCTGAATCAAACATCCCAAACCAGTCTTCCATTATCAAGATGATAACAGTTAACTACCATGGCCTGCTTATCCATAGCAATCCTGTAAAGCTGAGGAAAGGCGAGGGCAAGAGGCAAATCTCCACACCACACATCCTCCCAGAAGCGAATCCTCCTCCCATCTCTGATACGAAGCCGAATGTGCTTGGAAAAATCATCCCAACCCTTCCGAATAAATTTCCAAACCCCCACCCCCCGAGGATCTCTAACTTCCAAAGAACTCCACCCTCCTCTCATTTCCCCAAAACGACATGCCACAACCCTCCTCCAAAGCCGATGTCTCTCCACCCCGAACCTCCACAACCATTTCCCAAGGAGGGCCTTATTAAAGGGCACCAATTTACGGAGCCCTAACCCACCATTGTGAATTGGCCTGCAAACTTGGTCCCACCTCACCAAATGAAACTTAAACTCTTCACCTCTACCTCCCCACAGAAAATTACGCTGCAACCTCTCTATCCTTTCCGCAACTGAAGAGGGAATCTGGAAAAGAGAGATAAAATACGTGAGAAGACAAGAGAGGGTGCTCTTAATCAGCGTGACCCTATCGCCCTTGGAGAGACACTGCTTCTTCCAACCCGCCAACCTTCTCTCAATTCTATCCACCACTAGATCCCAAATTCCCACACACCTCGAAGGAGCTCCCAGAGGCAATCCTAAGTAAGAAATGGGAAATGAACTAGTACGACAGCCAAGAATATCAGCAAAAGTCTCAATCTCAAGGACCTCCCCAACCGGCACCAAAACACTTTTTCCCACATTCACTTTAAGGCCAGAAACAACTTGGAACCAAATCGAAACACATCTCAAATATCTAATCTGAGAAACGTTCGCATCACAAAGAACTAAAGTGTCTTCAGCAAACATCAAATGAGAGATTTCCAACTGAGAATCTGCCTCCCTACCCACCCGAAAGCCTCTCAAAAGACTCAACTCGGTAGCCCTTCTTATCAATCTACTAAGGGCCTCCATCACAAACAAGAACAAGAAGGGGGAAAGGGGATCTCCTTGTCTTAAGCCCCTTGAACTAGAGAAAAAACCAGTAGGAGCACCATTAACAAGGATCGAAAAGCGAGCACTGGAAATACAAAAATGAATCCATCTCCTCCATCTATCGCCGAACCCCATCCTCCCCATCAGGTACAGAAGAAAGCTCCAACTTACATGGTCATACGCCTTCTCAATGTCCAACTTACAAAGAACACCCGGGGTTCCACTACGCAATCTGGAGTCCACACACTCACTTGCAATAAGGACTGAATCCAAAATTTGACGGCCTCCTACAAAAGCGTTTTGAGAGTCCGAAATGATGCCATCCAACACTTTCCTCAACCTTGAAGCAAGCACCTTGGCAATCAGCTTGTAGATGCAACCCACCAGGCTAATAGGGCGAAAATCTCTAACATCCAAAGCACCTCTATTGGGGATTGTCAATGCCTTTTCTACAATCCATGGTATAAAGGACAGACCTTTCAAAAGAAATTTGGTCTCAGATGTTTGCTGCCAGCAGGTTTGGGTTATTCTGCAAAACTGTGTGTGTTGAAATCCATCAATGGATAGTGCATACCTGATTCATGGCCAACTGAGATTGGTCAATTCCTATCCTATCTTCCAAATAATGGACCTGTTGATTCAATCACCTGGAGGATGGACAATTTTTCCTTCAAATCTATGTGGAATGTTTGCAGAGACAAGAGGGATGCGGTACCATGGAGTAAGCTGGTGTGGACCTCTGGTAGGCCTAGAGTGACTCTCCAATCAGCTCTGATTCTTCTCAACTCTTTTCCTTCCTACTTCATTTTGAGGAAGAGATGATCCATTGGTCCAGCTATATGCCACAATTGTTTTGCAAATACTGATTCAAGGGATCACCTTTTCTGGTGTTGTCCTTACGCTAATAAGGTTTGGAAGTGGATTGCTGACTTATGTCATTGGGAAGGTTTTCACAATCTGCAGCACTTCCAAGATTTAGTATCTTGGTTCATCAATCATACTCGGGGAAATTCTATGAAATGCAGAGTGATGGGTTGTATTTTTACCTCAACCCTGTGGTGTATATGGAGTAAGAGAAATCAAAGAGTTCATGGTGGACCTGTTCACTCTGCTCAGCAGTTGGCAATGGAGGCTTGTTTTGAGGGCTTCTCAGCTGTTGGGATAACCATATCAGACCTAAACCTTATTTTTTGATTATGTGCTTCCTTAGTCTTGTTCTGGTCTGATTGTTTCCTTAGTCTTGAGATGGTTTGACTGTTTTCATTTTTCTTCTTCTTTGGGTTAGGGTATGCCCTATCCTTATCTCTTTTGGTCTTGTTTTCAGTTTTCTCGGTGGTCTCCTTATGATCACTCTATCATTGTACTCTATTGTCTATTTTGTATTAATAAAATTATAAACCCATTCAGGAAAAAAAATAACAGATTTAACGGCATAAACAATAAACCACATATTAAATTACATGTTTACACAGTAGGAACGCATGGCAATTCAGAAAACTAGCCAAGCATAACATGATCTGAAAGCGAAACCCTTTTTTTTTTTTTTTTTTTTTTTTTTTTTTTTTTTTTTTTTTGAGCGAAACACCAATACCATAGACGATCATCATAAAAAAATTTACAAAATAGAAACTAACACAGCAGTGTTTGAAAATAATTAACAAACTGAACCATAATATGCATCATTTTCCAATTACGGTAGCAACATGAACATCATTTAAATGCAATTTAGAAACCAATCACAGAAATTAACGTTAACTCAGAGTTGCAGGATCTAATTTAACTGCAAATATGTATATACACACACCGACATACGCATATAAACATGCATACATATTTGCCCTCCTGTTCCAAACCCTAAAAAAACCCAATTTTCTGGCTGAATTTGATACAAACCCACATAGAGAGAACAGCAGAGACGGCATGGAGTATGAAGTCATATTCTTCAGGATACGCTACAAACACATTAAACTTCATGTATGCGTGTGCGTGCAGGTATGTGTGTGTGTGTGTGTGCGCGCGCGTGTGAGAGTAGCAGGATGATTACTCAAAGACTATAAAAAATGGGGTTTTATCCTCTTTCTGTCTACAAATATGGTAGAGAGAGAGAGATAAAAATTGATTTGGGATAATCCGTACTCACCAGTACTCTGTTGTTGGGAATGTTGGGGAGGGCTTGCGGGGCGATTCTCAGGGAGATCGTTCGACGACATTGTTTCTTCTTTTCCGATAGAGACACAAGTAATACAAACATATACTCCGTATATATATATATTGTATATACGGACTACGGAGTGTATGTGTGTATATATATGTGCTGGTCGGGGGTTTGGGGGAAAGACAAGTCGGAGAGAGTGCAGCGATCTTCTTAATGGGTCAAATCGGGCTTGGATCTTTGTTGAACCTGGATTTGTTGTGAATTCGAATCTATATTAAATGAAAAATTAAAATTAAAAGTCTGATTACTTTTTCTTTTAAAATAACAATTGGTTTTAGCCCAATCACTGGTAAGTTTGTAGGATCGGTGGATATTAATTTGTATTTGATATTTTGACTTTTTTTTTTTTTTTTTTTTAATAATTAGAATAGCAAAGTGATGCAAAGTGATTGATTATTTGTTTACATGACTCATAATTTGTATGCCTAATTTGTTATGCAAGAATAAAATGTAATAGGAATGGGGTGAAGTTGACAATGGAATGATTATTTTTTTATTCTATTGTTAAATTATAAATATGAAATGACATAGAAAATAAATAATAATTATCATTTTAAGTGATAGTAATGGAAAGCAGCCGGTAGGTTTTAGATTTTACATGATAGTTTTTTATAAATTTGATTTTTAAAATGAAAAAAAATGAAATTACATGGTAATGGAATAAATATTTGAACGGATTTTCATCCTAAAATGGCTTTGTTTGGGGGTGGAAACCGCTAGAAAATAAAGGAAATATGAAATTTTTAAATTTTTTTTATAGTTTGGACAGATAAAAAGATAAAACTAATGGAAAATTTAGTTTCCCTTGTTCAGTATTTTCCCTCAAAAAAATTTCACAAAAAACATATTTTCCGTGTGAAAGAAGTGCTTATTTATTTGTTGTTCCTATTTTACCCAGTAACTTAATCGTGCAAAGTTCTCTCCAAACTACTTATATTCTAAGGTAAACTTTTATTCTGAGGTAAGTTGCAAAACAAATTATACAATTATATATACAAAATATCAATGATATATAATTTGGATAAAATTGCTCAAAATATATCCTCTTCGAAATAGAATTTTTTATGTTTTTTTAATTGTATGTTCTATGTTGCAACTCTATGCACTCATAATCCAGTATGGATATATATATGTGTATATATATTTTATATCGTGAAATTTTGATTTTTCTCCCAAATAATAGTATTGCCTCTTCATCTCTAATTTTTTATTATTATTTTTTTAATTTGTTCATCTTAAACTAATAATTAGTTTTACCTAAAGAAATATTATGAAGCCTTATTCTAAATATAAATAATAATAATAATATAAACAATTATATATTTGAATTTAATAATCCATCATTTTACTTCATGGTAATTTTGGCATGCATAATTATTTTCTTTTCACTTTCACGTTATCTTGACTAATAAACTAATATTTTTCTATAGTTTTCTTGGATAAATTTTCATACTAACCAAATGCATACTAGAAAATATCTTCTTTTTTTTATTCACTTCACTTTTCTTTCACTTTTCATTTCATTTATTTTCTAACCTATTTCCACCTAACCAAATGAAGGAAATGATTATTTCTGCTTTAAATTTTATACCAAACTAATGGCTTGAATGAGATTTCTCATTCCATTTCATTCAGGCCTGATGAGCGCTGAAAAGTGCGTATTTAAATCCCTTAAGTTTGAGTGTTCTAGGACCTTTATCTATCTTATTTTACCGTTTTGAATTGATTTTGTTTTATTTCCATTTTCAGGTACTTATTCCCAAAACAAGCTAACTCAGCCAAATAAGAGCATAATTGAAGTAATTCTGGAATGAATCAAAGAAAGGAGCAAAATAGAGCAAAAGGAAGCAAAGAGTGGAATTTCAGCAACTTCGATTAATCTCAAGAAAAGTTTGATCGATCCAACTTTCATCGATCTCAACACTTCAAGATGGATCTGAGCCATGTTTGTCCCTGTTCAAAGATCTAAAAAGTTCAATCGAACATATTCTCCTTATCCAAATAATTGATCTTATCCAGTTGTACCACCCTACCAACCACTTTTGTCATTTTCCCAAAAATATCTTCAAAATATCTCAGATTTGTTTTTATCCAAAAAGGCGCCGCCATTGAGGATCGATCCAGTCTAAGTTCGATAGATTTCAGCCATGTTCGATCGATCCAAGTCCAAGGTTCGATCGATCGAACTTCCTCCAGTGCGAAAAAATTAAATTTCCAGCTCACAAAAAGTTGTCCTTTATCCAATCATTGGGGAATATTTGTTGTACGACCCCAGCTCATTTTTGGTGTCATTTGCCTACCTATATAAGGATAAGGATTACTTTTTACATGATATCATAGAATATCACATCATATCATATCATACCTTGTAGAACTCTTAGGGAGGAAGCAAAGAAGAGGAGGAGGTTAGAGACACCATTGGAGACTCTTCATCAACCAAGGAGCAGATTTCTTCCATGGAGCTTGCCCTTGAGGGTTGGAGGACACCATCCATGAGTGGCTAGACATCCTCTTGGGGCTAGAGTTAGCCCTAAACATGTTTTCTACTTCTTGATTTATGTATTTTTGAGGGGATTTGTATTGTGATTTATGTCTTAACACTTTTATATATATAGATCTTGTTTATTAAATGATTTATGTGGTTTAATGCTTCTAATTGATCATTTCATTCTATCCATATGTCTACGTATGCTAGAATAGATGTTCATGTTTTTGTCTCTATTTCTTGTGTTATTGAAGCATGTCTATGTGTGTTGATGCTATACATCTAGAGATTGTCAAGACATAGTGCTTAATGTCATGTTCTTGTGGTTTATTTGATGGTTCATACTCATTTCTTGATGGATTGTACTTCTCCCTTAGTTTAATTAGTTTAATTTCATGTCATTAGCTTAGTTGTAGTGTAGTTGTTAAATGGGAGGACAATCCATACTTGTTGTTGATGTTCCATACTTATAAAAGTAAGTAACATGTATCTCTAACCTTGTGATGTGTTTGCATTGTGAGCTTAAAGAAAGGATTAATGGCTTAATTTGATATGTTGTGCTATCCACCATGTTGTTTAGACAATATATGCTTAATTTGTCATCCATACTTGTTGAAACAACCACACACACACTTTATATTGTAATACATGTTCTTCCCCTCATTAATCATGCATTAAAGGTGTGGAAAAGTTATGCTTAATGGTGATCTCTAAACCCCAAGATCTCTCTCTCTCTTTTATTCTCTCTATTGCATTATTGTTTACTTTAGTTTAATTTGCATTTAATTTTATTCAACCAACTAACCACTATTTGATCACTCGACCTACTAACCCTAGATTTCATTTCTCAACCTAGTGCGACCCTTAATCCCTTGAGACGATCCCTACTTACCCTAGTTATATTTTTAGTGAAAGGTAGTAGTAGCAATTTCTAAATGTAAAACTTGACCACATTGCATAAACTTTGGGTTTGGTTCGACGACATACCAAGGCCTACCACTTTAAGCCATGCGGTATAAAACAAGATATAAATTTGTATTTATAAAAAATAAAAAAAGATTAGATTGTTTTTTTTAAAAAAATAATTACTAAAAAATATTCTACCTCTGCCAATACATAATTTTAAAAGCTCAATTTTTAGCTTCATCAAAAAAGAGCTCTTTTGATTAAGGCCAATTTCGGGAGCTTCCTCAAGTTTCAAAAAGTCATTCCTAGTTTAAAAAGTTCTTTCTTTCTTGAAAAACCCAATGATTAAGAAGCCCATTTCAAAACATAAGAAAAAATTGCTTTTAGAAAACAATCTAAAAAGCTGTGTACTTGAAATCGCCAAGCTAAACTGTGCTGAGTCACATCTATACAAGCAAAATAAGGCAAAACCCCAAATTTGCTGGGACATTTTTACAAAAGTGGCCGTTACCTTTAAACACCCCTCCAAGGCTACAACGTTCAAATTTCCACAAAGCTCAGAAAATATGACCGTTGCCGCACCCTATATATACCTTAATCATCTCCGTCGCCACCTTATGCAAAAAAAAACATCACTCCCCTTCGCAAACAAAAAATCTGCTGCTGGAATCCAGACACCCACCAAATCACCACCACCACCACCCAGTCGCCGGAATCTGACCCACTTTACAACATTTTCAACCAATTCCCAACATGGGTCTCCCCATTAACAACAACCCACCAACCTCTCGATCACACAACCACACTCACAACGTCTTCCTCTTCTGCAACTACATCCTCTTAGGCGCAGCCTCCAGCTGCATCTTCCTAACACTCTCCCTCAGACTCGTTCCCTCGATATACGGATTCTCTCTCATCCTCCTCCATGTCCTCACCATTGCCGGGGCTGTCTCCGGCTGCTGTGCCGTGGCCTCCTCGGGTACCAGTAGGTGGTATGCAGCTCACATGGTGGCCACCGTCCTCACGGCCATATTTCAGGGGTCGGTGTCGGTGCTCATCTTCACGAGAACCGGAGATTTTCTTGGGGAATTGAAGTCTTATGTGAGGGAAGAAGATGGTGTTGTGATATTGAAATTGGCTGGTGGGTTGTGTGTTGTGATCTTCTGCTTAGAGTGGGTGGTGCTAACACTTGCATTTTTCTTGAAGTACTATGCATATGTGGAAGGTAATACAAGTAATGCAATGAAGCAGACTGGTAAGGTACATGAGGAGGATCAGATGAAAGATTGGCCATGGCCTTTTCAGGTCTAACTAAATGGTTTGTTTTTTTTGTTTTTTATTTTTATTTTTATTTTTACTTTTTTATATGGGTACTCTCACATAGATATATGCATATATATTTCATTTGTTTGTTAAAAAATTCATCAATTTGTTTGGATCAGTTTGTAATTTATCTGGTTTTGTTTGCAGACAAATACCATGAGATTGTAATGTTTTCTTATATAATTATTCACATACATTGTTATGGTGGGGCCTTTTTGTACTATTTTTTTTTTGGGGATTAAATTAAAATAACTACAAATTATTGAAGAACTAAATGATTTCTTACAGACCCAGTCTCTTGTTGGCAAACTACTTTTCACAGACTAAACCAGTCTCACAAAAATGTTTAAAAAAATTTAGAAGATAAATCAAACACCAAAAGAGGATAAAAATATTTTAAGTTAAAAAATTGTACATCTAAATGAAAGAGCAGGTTTTAAGCAAACAAGCACAAGGGTCAGGCCCTTTTGTGCAGTTCAGATGTAGGTCACTACAAACTCCAATTTTTTTTTTTTTTTTTTTTTTGGGGAACAAATTTATATCAAAACTTGTTACGAACAGTTAAATGTTGAAGTTTGAACACAAGCAGGGCTGCAAATTACATTTCATAGACAGAAAGCAGTCTCCTCAATTCTTGCATTATCCAATTTGAAACCTGGTACCAAGCAAAACTTCACCTTAAAAGATATCTGCAACAGGTGACCATTTCAACTCTCTGACATCTTTAACAAAACATTGTGTATGCAATGTGCATAAGAGGGTCTGCATTAGAGGAGCTGCATGATCACATGCCACATAAAATGCGGGCAATAAAAAATTGGGTTGAGGTGACAAAAGCAAACCAAAGAGTGGTAGACCAAGAAGAGCCTGACGATTGGTATGCTTAATGCAGCTGCTGTTGAACAGCTGTGGCAGGTTTCCAGGTTGGGGTGACAGAAGCAAAAGAGTGGAGACCAAGAGGCTAGAGTCTGGATCCTCTGCAGTACAGCACGCGTGCTGTACCGCAGAGGATCAACTCTGCAAGAGTTTATTGATGATTGTATGTATACTGCTGCTGTTGAACAGTTGTGGCAGGTTTCTGGGATGATTGGGGAGAGGTCTCATTGGGGTTGAACACCTTGCCAGCAGGAGGGAGACACCTTTTTGAGAAAAATGTGGCAATACTCTTTGTTCTTCCACCACCCTTCTCTGAGACTGCAAGTTCAAGAATTAAACTGCTTTAGCCTTGTAAGAACAAATAATCAAATGTAAGGAGACTAATTCAGACAGTTCAAATGAGCACAGACCTGGTGAAATTGATAAACCAAGCTTGTCCAGAATATTTTTCTTAACCTGCATCACAAAAAGAATATTTAACATCAGCAAAAATATGAACCTGTTTCAGAAATACAAGAATCCGAAACTTGCATAACTCTTGCACATCTCTATGGTTAATAACCTTCCTCATTCACGGGTCAAATAATACAACAAGTGATAAACTAGTCCTACATTCAATCTAAATAACTCAACCTCACATTCAATTTTAGTCCAAAACACAAGGGAGAAAGAAACATTCAGTTTTATCCTAGACAGGGTAAAATAACATACATAACAGGGGAAAGACAGTTCTACTGGGTTTGTAGAGCACTACATTGATAGAAGAGATCAAAAGTGCATCAGTTGGGGGGAGGAAATCCTACACTAAACATGTAAACTAGAGGTCAGTTTTCATTGACCCACCTGCCAATTCACAGTCCAGCAGCCATAGCAAAAATATAGTCATACTGACTGATACAATTTGTGCCATTATCAATCAAAATCCTTCTAGTTCTCCACTTTAAATAAGGTGGGATGCTTAAAATTTACATGAAATAGATGCCATTATCAAACCAGATTGATTTACCATCTTTACATTAATTCACGTTTAAATATGGAAGTAAAATGCCCAAGGCAAATGTCATAAGCATGTGGCAATACTGATTTCCCACCATGAAAAGACTGAAATGGAAATACGTTTCACTAACCTGCCATCGGTTATCCACAAAATCTGATATTTCACGCACTTTACTTCGTAGATGGGACTTTGGTGTGGTGGGAAACTTCTGTTGCAAAGACTCTACCACCTTGTTAATACCATGCGAGCATGACCGAATGACAGATACCTGAAAGATCAGTTGAAATATGTATTAGCTACAAAGTAGAGTATACCATTATTGTATTATGATTGGCAAATGTCACATTTCCCTGAATTAAAAGGTTATGCATTTAGTAATTTAACTAACTTCAAAGACCAGGTAAGAGCCATCCCTAAAAAATCCCATGACGGTTTCCAATGTGCACCCCAGGATAAATGAATAACTTACAATTTGAGGCAAATCTGACTCCAGTATAGCTGTCACAGTCGCCGCTGGTGTGGTACAGCCCTTGGTGTGCGATGGACTTGCCTCCTGACTTTCTTCCAGCACATTATTATCAATTGATATCTCTATCAATGGAAAACCAGTTAAAGCTCGCATTCTCAGAGCTTGAAAACACATCTGCTCAAGTTTCAGAGTACCAGTAAGATCTTCAGCCACGAGCAATGGAGCCTTTTCAAGCATTAGATTCGATATAATCAAAGGCTGGTTCTTGCGAAGAGCACTCTCAGTCAAATTATGTAAACACTTCTGATGTCGAATAAATAAACAGAACTCCTCACCCTCCACCTCCAGTTTACAACTCGGTGAAGTTTTTGCCTCCTCAACTAAGTGATCAGAATCCATTCTGTCATTTACTCCCTGCAAGAAGAAAGTAGACAAATGTCACAACTAAGCAACTTCAGTGCCCTTTAAACTGATTAATCCTATGTGATATGTGGTAGTGGAGTTCACAATTTAACAATGTTCCCAGTAAACACGTTTCCAGTTTCTTTTCCCATCCAGCCTTACATAAGCATAGTTGTTAAAAGCATCCTAGATTACATGGAATCAGGTACATGGGTTGGGTTCGGGTATGTATCTGGGTTGGGCGCGTCACATAACAAACAGAAAGACACATAGATACTACCCTAAATATTCATTCTATACTTTTCTTTTCTTTTCTTTTTTTTTTTCAAAGTAATATAATGTGTGTAACATAGCATTCAATATAGGCATTTCACTCAATTAGAAGTAAAAAATATAGTAAAATTCAAGCTTTTCAGGAGCATGTCCAACAGAAAGTGTCAGATACATATCCCATACCAATGTTTGAGTGTTGTTTGTCTGAAAGGCACTTCACTTACTTTTAAAGAGTCCATGCAACACAGCGTATGAGCGAAAAGAGGCCAAGGCTTATCAAGGCTCAGTTAAAGCACCTTATTATGTGACAAACAAGGCCGCTTAAGTCAGTCAAGTGCACATAAAACCCAGACTCCAGTCTACCAACAAAGTGCAGCATAATTTAGTCATCTAGTCTCTCTTTCTTAAATTGCTGTTGATTGACAAGCTTTATATCACATCATGGTCTTCTGAAATAGACCATGTTTAGCCTTGCAAGATATTTAGTAATTGAGATTCATGGAGTTATAGTTGACTACTTGAATTAGGTTTTCAAGTTATGATTGTAGCCTTTTATGATTACACATTTGCAATGGTATTCAATGGGTTGATGCATAAGCAAATTGAAAGAATATGCATACATCAGATGTTAGTTGATATGCTAGAAGATTCTTTAAAAAAATTGACTAGTTTTGGTTGTATATTTTGAATTATTTCAATTGTGCATTGATTTAATTGAATGCATACAAAGATTGAAAGGACACACACACTTGCACACATTAAATTACCTATTTCTTCATGATAAACCAAAATTTTTTTCCTAGTTGGTACTCATACACCCCCCCCCCCCTGCAAGGAATTGTTTGCACCTCGGAGGAATCGATCCTAAGACCTGATGCTTCATGAGGCATCAGGGCCCAAGTCTTTTCCAACTAGGCCAACCCCTTGGGGTTGATACCCCAAAAATTCACTCCTTTGATTTCATTCGTTGAAATATACATTTCCATCTGTTAACAACCATCTACTCTAAAAGCTTAAGTTGTTAGAGAGAATGTAACTTAAATATTTAAATCCTTCAACATGCTCCTCACGTGTGGCCTTCTTTTGGTCCAACACTTCTGTCAAATTATCAAGATGACGGTGAGGTTTGAACTCGATACTTTTGGCTCTGATACCATGTTAACAATCATCTACTATAAAAGCTTAAGCTGGTAGAGAGGGTATAACTTAAATATTTAAATCCTTCGACACCATCACCATGTCTTCACTCAAACTCGCACCTTATACTACATCTCGCACTTAGACTAGGAGAGCTTGGTGCTCCTTTTGAGACTATTTATGACAATGCTCTAAAAGATTTGTTCCCTTAACTCTCTCTGGAGTAACTTATGGGGAAGACGTGTCACTGAGTAAGGGCACTTTATGAACATGAATTTTGGTATTTTAGTATCTTTATGATGCTGTTCACCCTACTCACAGTTATAAAACTAAATTAGCTTAAAGGGAAACAGTTTAGAATGAGTTTTATTATGTAGCTTTAACTTAGAATACGTTCTCAAAAATTTTGGGTTGTAAAAAGTCTTGGGTGTTCTCTATTTGAATATTAACTGTCCTAGGAGTTATTGAGATTAATTCAGCACATAAGAAAGAGTCACATACAGAACTGAAGACAAGTTAATTTATCCAAAATAAAAATAAAAAAATGATCATAAAAACTTGCAAAAATGGAGATACTGATATTAAATTCCTGCACCCTCAAAAACCTCATTGAAAATTCGTTCACAATAAATTTGCAATATATATATATATATATATATATATATATTGGATTTTACAACTTCAGATTTAATATGGCAAGAAAACAAACATGTACAGGTGTTAAAGTCCACAAAAGTAGAACTCAATGACACTGCAGATTACAAATATATGTATGTTAACAAAACAATGCATCTACATGTTGATATTTAACTTTAAGCTTACCTAATTGCCAGTTTAATTTCCAGATTCACAACATTTTAAATTTTAGACACTGTAGAATGATTACTACATAAGAAATTTGGTTGGACAAGATGCAGTTTCACAGCACTAATACCTCGTTTTCTGAGAGATATCCATCAGGTACAAAGAAACCATCTTCACTTTCATCTTCATCTTGAGCTTTTGAATATCCTTCCTCTAAAATTGCCTCTTCATCATCTTTATCACAATCGGATAGGCTTTCACCAGGTTCATCCTGCACAATTAAAATTTTAATTGCACATATCTTTTCAAAGATAATCAGAGTGAAAATAGCAAAACCAAGAGATACCTCTTCCCATTCTTCATCACTATCAACATCATAATCCAAGTCTGGATCTTTCACAAAGGGGTGGCGTGGTCCAACAACTTGACTGAAAAAACAAATAGGAACCTATAGAATGAGTGCCATAGTCCAAGAAAAGCCTAATGTAGTCAAGGCATCAATACACATTACAAAGTATCTGTAGATTAAAAAGACGAGGTGTTTTAAGTGCTGGAAATTTTAAGAGCTAAAACTGTAGATTATTTTATTTATTTTAAGGTAAATTTATTCAATAGCATAAAATCTTTAAAACAAATTCTCATTGAGCATATTAGTGATAAGTGAAGTGATTTTCCATTTACTTAAAAGTAACTTATTTTGAGTGGAACTTAATTTTTAAATGACACTCAAATTGCATTATCCAACTCCAATAATTGCACCATATCAGTTTTATATGCAAAAATATTTATCAAACACCACCTAACTTGCAACTTACAAAACCAGTGAAAATGTATAGTGAGTGGTTGGACATTAGGTAACTCAGTTAATAAAAGTTTTAAGAATTCAAAATACTGAATTGGGTTTGGGGAATCTTCTAAGTTAGCTAAAATAAGAAAAAACAGTTTTCACATTACAAAGCACAAGTGAGAATTTATATGCATATAATTTTACACTTGAAGATGGTTAACAAAAGAATAAACGACTAAAACAAAATTCTTGAAGATGGCTGACCTACTTAAACAATAAGAATCAAACTTTGACAATGATTTTATTATTTATAAATTTCATCTAGTCATAGAACGTTAGATTTAGTTGTCATGAGGTAATGTTTTCAGTTCCTAGTGTAACTTTTATGTATAGTTTAGTTGTCGTATCCTCTTTGTGTCTGTTCATTTTTTTTTTTCCAGATTCACCATGTTAGGGTGTCACGTTTCATCTCAATATCTAATATCCATGTCCATGCTTCCTAGCTTCTCTTGAACATGTAAATTGATGAAAACAAAAAATCCCGTGATAAATGCATGTCACATGGATCCAAGTACATAGGTTGGGTGTGGCTACCTATCTACGTATGGGTGTCTACAGCTACCCCTCTTTGTTCGGCATTGGATAAATTGAGAAGTTTATGCATACAGCATTTAGAGTGTCTAACTCATCTTGAAGCAAACATAAGAAAAAATTAAGTAAAATAACATAGTGAAATTGAATTATCAAAGACACTTGTAGGCTATATTTCTAGGTAGACATATCAAACTAGCCAATATCATGTTAGACAAATACTTCCAAAAGTTCAGAAAACTCCATGTAACATTTAATTTTACATGGGATGCACCGTTTAGAAGAGAAGCAGTTCTTTACCTAGAAGGTAAGGTACCAAAACTTACATGGGATGAAATAATTAAAAATAATTAAAAAAATTAAAAATTAAGGAAGACGTGCTATATAACAAAGAACAAAAAAAAGACACTTCATTTAGCCGACCCCAGCCATATGCAACAAAGGCAAAAATGATGATGACACGACTTATATTGTACCAAAAGCATGATAAAACATATCCAAATTATTAAAGAATATTGATCAAATGGTGGGGGCTCTATCTGAGGGGATTCGTAAAACATTTGCTCATCAATGACAGCAATTGTGGTGTGCATTGAAGTATTTGCTCAGTTCAACAAAATATAAATCTATGAAATGGTGGGGGTTTACCTTTTCCTAGACCAGATACCATAAAATGCAGGCCTATGGCTCTTATCAAATTGCAACAACTGTTTACTCCTACTACGCTTCTGGCCACTACAAAGAGAATTGTCTCCATTTTTATGATTGGATTCACCATCAACACTCATTTCATCCCATCCATCAACAAGCTTCTCTATGCTCAACTCATCATCACGGGAAAGTCCTCTACTTACAGTGAGCTTAATTTCCTTGATCAATTTTGTCTTAGGCTTTTGCCTCATGCCCCAATGTTGTTTCCTATTTGAACGAATTGAATGACCCAAGCGACACCAAGATATCAAGTGTGACCTGCAAAATGTAACAAGTAGGGTTATCATTGAACTCCAGGAACCGAGTATACAAGTTGTAAGGAAACCTACTTGCGAATATTGTCTGTATTAATCCCATTTTTTAGTGAAAGAGCACAGTCCATTAAATGAGTAACCGATTCAGGCATAGTTTTACTCATGTTAGGGGATGTCTCAGAAGTCATTTCTTTGGTTGAAGACTGGTTATTCTGGCAAGCCAAATTATTCTTGCTTCTTTTGAGAAAGCGTTCCATGAGTGACGCTTGCTTCTGGAAAGCAAGTTGCTTTTTCAATTCAGCTTCTTCCTTTTCACGACGTCGTTGATCTTTCTCTGCTTCCTCTTGCTGCCTTTTTATCTGTCTCTTCATTTCAGATTCTTCTTTCTGGCGACGCCTTTCCTCTTTCTCTGCCTCATCCTGTAATCGTTTTAGCTCTTTTTCCTGCAATGAAGTAATACATTTATAAAATATGACTGATATTCAGAAAAAGCTCATGAACCATTAATTGAACAGTGGCTACCAGTTTCTAATTTAAATAGATAATTGACAGAACAAGATGTGAAGACAAATTTTGGAATAGTAAATTTCAAAACAATTCCATGGTGCATGATGCAAAAATTCATTTAAATTTCCTTTCCAAACCATAAAAATCTTGTTCCATATAAATAATATTAGTTGCCTGAGAGTTCTGAAAAAATTAATAAATAATACATTTAAGGGTAACATATTTAGAGCTAAACAGCATATATCATTTGCCAAAGCACAAATATATGGAGAAGATGCATGCAGCCTAGACTAAATAACACATGTAGGGCTGAAATAGGACTTACACTTTGCCGCTTCTCCTTCTGAAGCTCCCATTCCACTCTTTTTTTCTCCTTTTCAACTTCTCGTTTATTTCTCTCTAATTGCTTGATTATCAATTTCTCTTCTTTTTTTGCTTCCTTGTCAGCCCTACAGCAATGAACTAAATTTAAAACAAAGAAAAAAGAACATAAAGCAACAAACGTACTAACAAAGCTACTGCCAATACATACCTATCAGAACCATTTTTCTGCGCCATGCTTTCAACTAACAGGCGAATATCTGCCTCATTTAACACTTTGACAAGCCTCTCTGATGCTTTCACCTGCTCATGTCCATTGCTCTGAGGACTCTCTGAGTTCTGTAATGCATTTATCATTGCTGAAATGAATATATAAAAAAATGAAATTAGTAAGCCATACCGTAAGCCAACATCATCTGATAGAATCTTATGTTAATCTGAGTTCACCTCAAATGGGTGAGTATCAGACTCCTTTGTTAGTGTCCCTGCTGCATAGGCAGTAATTGCAGTTGCATATGTGGGTTTAGGATTCCTTATTTACTCAATAAATGGAACAGGACAGTTAAATTTAGCATGCCACCTTCTTCAGAACATAACCTTTTGGTTTAATGATTTAAGCTTGAAGTCTCCATTACTTCAATGAGCACTGCATTAGAAATAAAAGAGGGACCTTTTTTACATGCCCTGAAACTCTAACTACTGAATACTTCACAAAAGATTCAACTAAGTTGACCGTTTCAAAGTTGTCAACGTTAGACTAGGTGTACGCTTAACACCTAACCTTTTTCCCTCCTATTTCTCCTTTTTAAATATCCTCATCTTGGAGAAAAAAATGAGACTCATTCCCAAACCCACTCCATTTCCATGCTAGTTGGTGAAGAAAACAATATGATGGGGATTCGCAACTCCCAAGTATTAAGTATCCTTCTAGTTGAAGGCGTTGGAGTGTTTTATTATCTTGTTGGATGTCTTAAAGGATCTAAATGATAACTACAATGAGGAATTTTCAAAAGTATTGTAAAGATGTTCCAGTATTGAAAACTTCTTGAGTATTAAACGAACTCTTTAAATCTAATTATTAAAGTAAGCTGGGCAATAATGCGATTTATAGATACAGGTGGTTAATTACTTGTTGACAAATGATGTAGTTCACAAATTGCTTCTGTGAGCTTTAACATATGTTTCAATTTTGATTCAGTATTTCTCTGCATTTACTGCTGATTTTACAACTAGTAGCAAAGTATTATTAAATTTTTATTAGATAAAGATTTAAGCATTTTATGTTATATCTTGATATTGTTGCAAATTGTAAATGATATATTTTTAAGGACACATCCCTAATTGATGACACTAGAGGATGACAACAAGGAGTCAAACTGACCCAACTGCAGAGTGTTAAACCATCTCTTGCCCAAAAGCTTAAGTAAGAAAATTCTAATGGCTTAGCAATGTATATCATGCTCTATTAACTATATTTCCACTACACGTCAGCCACAAAATCTTATTTCAACGGGCTATTCCAATCATGTCATGTCATGGATAGAAGTACCACAAAGACAAGCCTTGCCTGCTAAGTTTTTGATGAACTTAAACCAGATGAAATGTAAATATCTCCGTAAATATATATATGACTTACCAGAAACAGCAGTTATCCTTTCATGTATCTTCTTCCGACAAGTCCTACGAATTCTCAGTGCTCCTCGCACAGATTTCGGCATCAATTTTACATCTCTTGTCTGTACAATAATAAACAAGCAAGTCGAAAAATACTCCAACGGATGTAAGATCTTCCAATTAAGCAAATCTAAGTTGGAAAACAACAAATATTAAATATTATTCGATACATCCAGTTAAAAACTTTATTTGCTCTAACTATCCAATAAACATGGCAAGTTGAAGGCTTTACTTACTCAATGAATACAGAAAAAATAGAATTGTAAGCTAAATATGATACATTAAGAAAAATCAATCAACTATATACTAATAAATAACAATAACTTAAAATTAACATGTAAATTTAGAGATCAAACAGGCAATATCATATGAATATTTGGGGGGGACTGAATAAACTAAATAAAATGTTTAATGAGACCATTTAAATGCACAATTAAATGCAACAAATGTCATATGTGGCTAATAAACTTCATAAACCAAAAAAAAAAAAAAAAAATCCAATAATCCCATTAATTCTAAGGAGGACAAAAAAGTAAAAATTTGATATATCTGTTAACCAAAACTTAAATTGTTTAACAGAAACAAGCTATAGAAAACAATGGTATCACCTCCCAACACCAAAGGCACGACTCGGTCTCGTCCTCCAACACATCAGCGTCCGCACTGGGCACTCCATAGAACCATCTCTGCCCAATGAGAAGAACAGAACTCTTCACAGAAGCAAGAGTTATACTAAGACCATTTTCGCCATCTTTGGCCTTCAATTTATGGTAAACTTCAACGACCAACTTCGACAGGGGAAGATTGCTCTCTTCGAGCAAGCAAGCAATCCTCGAATTGTTCGAATTACAGTTGTTCAGATCCAAATTCACCTTCTCATCCAAAACCACTCGGTAATACTTGAACAAACCATCGAGCTCTTCGCGTAAAGCCTCGATCCGAGCCAATCTCTCTTCTGTACTCAGTGACTCGATCAATGAAGCTCTCTTCCTCTTCAACGATTTCTTCGCACTGTTGCTTTGATCTGAACTGTTCATTTCTGTCTTCTCCGATTCTTCCGGATCGATCACCACTACGTCCACCATTGAGCCCTAATTGTGCTTGCCCTCTCTCAAAGACAATACAAATCGACGAAAACCCCCCAATAACACAAAGGGTCTTCGAGAAGATAGGGAAAGATTCGAGTGAGAACAAAAACACCCCTCTGATCTAGGGTTTTCTTAAATTTTCCTGAGAAAATCAACCCACAAAAAGAAAAACTCTGAATTTCTCAGATTTCTCAATAGCTCAAGCCAAAAATCCCTTGTTTTCCTTCAGATTTTCTTCAGAAATGATAGCCGAAAACTGAAATTTTCCACACCTCTTCGAATTCCTATTTCTTTGTATAATTTATTGTTTTTTTTAATGAGAAAATGAGCTTTCCCGCCAAGCGAAAAAATAGATAATTTTGGCTCCAAACAGCCAATATTTCATTTCGCGCCTTTGTTAATTTTTTGTGCGCTCTGATGAGTTGGCCGATGGGAATGGAGCATGACAAACGCGTTTTCCGGATGGATAGTTCTGCAAGTTGGGCTGGCCCAACTCAGTCAATCCCAACCCAATCTTTACCCGAATTAGGTTGGCTTGGGTCAATCCAAATTATACTCAATATGGGTTATGGTCATAACCCAGTCCGAATATTTTCGGACGGGTTGCGTCAGTTTGACGGGTTAAGTTTTTTTTTTCTTTTCAGAAATATATATATATATATATATATATATATATATATATATATTATATTTTATTATTTTTAGGACAAATCATTTTAGCCTCCCCAATTGCCTCCATCTCTATTGTAATACTCCTATATTTTAAAGAATTATTTAATTAAATTAATTACCTTTAAATGAATTTAATGGATTTATTAATTTTAAATTAATTATTTATTTACATGTTTATTTGATTTATTGATATGATGATGTACTTAATTGTTGATTGATTTGTTGACGTGTTGATTTTTATTGTATGGTATGACTTAGTTGTTGATTTTTATTTGATTATGTGCTACATGTATTTAGTTGTTTTAATATGAAGTGTTTATTTATTTAATTATTTGTTTAAATTTAATGGATTGGGTTGGATTATTTAGACCAAAGAATTTGGGTCTTGGGCTGGAGAAGGAAGCCTTAAAGGATTTGGGATGGTTTAAAGGCCCATGGATTTATGCATGACTATATATATATACATATACATACATATATATATATATATATATGTATATTATGCATATTAAATGGATTATATATATATATAATTATATAGAGAATTATATATTTATAGTAAGTATATATCTATAGGACTTTATGCATATATATGGTAAGTATAGTTAAAAAAGATTTATAAATATATATTACATAATATATATATATTTATTTTTATATGTTTTATATATATTAATATAGTTGGAGTCTTATATGGAGGAGGATTTGAATTGGCAATATATATTATTTATTTATTTATATTTATATGTGTCATGTATATTAATATAACTAGAGTCCTATATGGAGGAGGATTTGAATTGGCAATATATATTATTTATTTTTTATTGTGTGAGGAATATATATATATATATATATATATATATAAAACAATAATAATAAATAATTATATATATAATATAATATACGTGTATATATTTTATTTAAGATTATTATTATTTTTATTTGGGTAGTCATACTAGGAATAGGATTAGGGTATTAATGTGTATAAATATACACATAAAGTTATATTGTTAAAAAGTTTTTCACGTTAGAAAAAAAAATAAATAATAAGAGAAGCAGAGAAAAAGAAGAAGGGAAGGCTGACAAAGAAAAGGTTGGATCAGAGAAAGAGGACGTCGGATTTGGAAGAGACAACCAAGGTTGAAGCGTCGATTTTGTTTCGAAACCTTTAGGCAAGTTCTTTTCTAACTCTCCTATTAGAACCCATAAGTTTATCACTGTGGGTATCAAAATCTATAGATTAAATTGGCACGTTAATCACCTAGACATAAGATAAATGCATGTGAAGAAATTGATTAGAAGAAAATGAATAATCCTTCTTCAATTAGGAAACTTTCTCAAATTCCCGTTTTAGTATTCTGTCTATATCTCTTTCCTCAAGTGCCAAAATGGCTCAAATCTTATTTGGTTGAATGGAAATTCAATTATCTACAATTTTGTATTTCACGAAAATTTCGTGAAATGGATGTTTACTTTGTCAAAACTGGGTTGGAAGACAATACGAATTTTGTATATATATCTTATGTAATGACCCAATCATTTTCCTTTCTTTCTTTTTTTCAGTAATTTTATTTTTGTGTCTTTTCCTTATTTTGTCTTTTTCCCGTTTATCATTTTTCTTCGCAAAACCTCATTTTTTGTGCTCGGATTGATCTCCAACTTTGCATGCATCCATGATATTTGATTTTCATGATAATTGTATTTTTACTTTTGTAGAAAATACATTCTAGTTATTTACTTTTTGTAAAGGGTATGGATGCATACTTTATTTGGGAATATTCTTGATTTTAGGGTTTTTGTGTAATTATGAAAAGTAATTATTTTTCGTCTTGAGGACCATCTTGTAAGTTAATTTAGAAGATATTTTGGAAAATGACCTTTTTGCATTTTTTGAAAAATGTGACAAGTGCCACATTCTCATGGAGTCACTTGTTGGCATTGGGGTGGAGAGATTTGGATGCATCATCTTGTGACATCTGGAGGATGGAGATTCACCCACTTGTTAGCCTAGGATAGCTGCACTTGTTGGCTTAGATAGTTGACAAGTGTAGGCTTAAGATTAAACCTAGGAAGGAGCCATTGATTTGTGACAAGTGTAGGCTCACAAATTGGTCTTTCATTGTGTGTGTGAGAGAGGTAATGCAAGAGCACATAGTGAGTGGAGGATTACTAGATCTTCCACTCACCATTTTTCACTTTTATCTTTTCCATTTCCTTGTTCTTCAAAACCCTAACCTAGCCACCATTGGAGAAAAGCTTGGTTAATAGCTTATTTCTTCATTTGGGCCTCCTTCCACTCACCTTAGACCATTAACCTTGGGAAACAAAAGTTTTCTTTCACTATCCTCTTTAAAACCCTTGTTTTGTTTTCCATTTTTGAGTTTGGTTGCTTGGGATTAAAGAGATTCAATTCTTTATTGAGGTAGGGGTGGTAGTATGTTTATATTTTGAGTGTTTTAAGTCATTTGGGGTTTAATATATATTGTGTACATGCTTTTAATATGATAGTCTTGCATATTATAGGAAACCTTCACTTTTGACTTAGGGTTTATTGATTTAAGCATGTATTATATGTATATACCTTGTGTAGAAGGATTGTATGATTTAGTAGTATGCTAAATTCGAGTATTTTCACATGTGATAGTGATATAGAATTCTTGTAAAATTATTAATGTTATACACAATTCCTTTTGATTTGAATTGTTATATTTATAGTAGTGATAATTCTATATTTTTGTCAATGCTTAATTGTGACTATTTTAGAAGCTTATTGCTAAAATGTTAAGAATTAGTATATAAAGCTTATTGTTGAGGCATGATTTAAATTGATAAGTTGGTGATATTGTTTTGCACATTGTATCATAATGAGAACTTGTCATCTACTATGCCATTCTAAATTTGGAACCCTAAGACATGGTTTGTGTGGATTCAAAATATTTGTGCATGGAAGGTGGTATAAATGCCTTAATATAATATATATAAGTTTTGAACTTGATATATTTTGGATTCTCTTGGGACATTGTTATAAGTGACATGACTAGAGTTTGGCTCTAGTACGGGAGGTATGAGTTCTCCCCATTATAGTGCGCACTAGGGTGGTATTTGTAATACCCCTAATTTCTAAAGGATAGTCCTCGTATTTAATTTATTGTTTTAATTGAATTTTAATTATTTAATTGTTTATTGGCGTGTTTATTTGCATCAAATGACGACTTGTATTATGATATGTTCTTTAATAGAATTAATTATTTTTCTTTAATAGTGTTAATTGTTTTCTTTCATATAATTTATTGTTTTCCTTTAATTGAATTAATTATTACATGGATTAATTATTAATTATGAAAATATAGTTAGGGTTCTGTTCAGGTTTAAGTTATAAGTCGACATAGACTTTAATTAGGATTTTCTGTGGGCCGACCTAGATTCAGTTTAGGGCTTGAATTAAATTTAGGTTTTGTATAAACCTATAAATATATGTAATAAGACTCTGCCTAGGGTTTTAGAACCCTACTCTCGGTTGTGGAAGCATAGAGGGAACATAGGAGGATTTCAGTAGGTGGTTCGCCGAAGAACTTAGATGACGAATGTGCAAGGCTAAAGACAAGTTCTATCCTTACTCTCTCCCTTGGACTTGTGTTCTTTGCATCTCTGTTACAACTCCAGGAGTAAATAAACTGCTAAGTTAATCTCGTTGCATGTTTAGGTTCGTTGTTGACTGTCTGTGGTTACATGTCTCTGTATTTGTTTGTTTAATGGTTCTGTGTCTATTTCTTATTCATATTGATGTTGATTAGTGATTAAAGATTGTTATAGACTTTGGAACTTTATTTTAATCAGTAGAAACATTAAAGAGGGAGGACAGTTCAACTGGTAGTCGCCGTAGATCAAACCAGTGAAGGAGGATGAGAGAAACTGAGCAAACCAGAGAAGGAGACGGCTCCCCACAAGGGTGGAGGCGGCTCCAAGAGAGGTGGAGGCGGCTCCACTCAAAGGAAGGTGGCTCCCCTTTGTGGGGAGACGTCTCTTTTCCCCCTCTCTCTTGATTTTTGATATTTTTCCGACTCTAGGGTGGTTTTTGACCTGTCTGAAGTGAACGGGGACTGTACATGGGAATTTAAAAGTAATCTAAGGTTAGATTGAGACTTCAGAGGATGTGGGAATGGAGGATAAACCACTTAGGGATTACAGGTTGAGCGGTGAATGTTTCTTAACAATTATGTAAACTATCAGTGGATGCGAGTGATTAAAATAGCTTGTGTTGTTTTCAATAATTTTTTGAGAATGATTATCCAATTTTAATCATGTAATAGTCGTGTAAAATGAGCATATTAAAGTCTATCTTATTTTAATTACGCTTGCTGATATAAATTGATGACTAAATCTTAGTACTTGTTCATCAATTGCTGGACTGGATGTATAAGCATGATAGGTTGTCTAGTTGTATTGTGCTTGCCATTAATTAATTGAGGTGCCATGTTCCAGTTGTAAAATATAGACATGTTAGATTACAGAATTATTATATGCTTATAAAGGATAAATGAAGTTATACATGTGTTAAATGTAATATCAATTCTTGGATAATTGTGTAGCGGTATAAAGTAAGCATGTTCAAACATATATTTGGATTATGCTTATTACGGATTAAAGGATGTATATACTTGTTCACTGTACTATAAGTTATGAGATAATCATGTAACAGTGGTATAAG